ATTTTTGAACTGTCTACTGAATACTAGCTGACTTCATATGAACATTTTATATATTACTGTAAAAAGTTTGTGAAGATTATCGAATCTCACAGCTCAAAATACATTCACACCAATACATAATCACATTCTCACTGGTTACTAATTTTGAGAGGTAAAATTCTTTGCTAGTGAAGTTCACATGTCACAACTGACCATCAGTGATATTGGAAATTTTTTGCTCAACAAAACGAAATGACCTGAATAAAATCCTGGGTTTGATTCCTGGTGGGTTCGTAGATGTACACTGGCGCGAAATCCCATATTAGAATGAGACAGTTATCTAGAACTTCCTAGTTTTCAATGGTTTTTGCTAACTAAGATCACTTCGTAGTGTTGACCATTTCTTTTTAAAGCATTTACATACGACTTTGTTATATGGCTCGAAAATTTCCCAAATTAGTGACACGGTTATGGTCATTTTTAATCTTCACTTAGTATTTTTTTTCTCGATTCTTGGAACAGACTTTCTTAACCATGCCTTCTATTGTTAGTTCACTATTAATATTGATTTTATAGTCTTGTCCACATGTTTTCCTCACACACACACATAAACTGTACTAATGGGAAGCGCACTTGTAGCGATCCACAACCGTATCACATCTTATTTTGCTTATAGCGATCTCCACTAACTTTATTTCACAATAAACACAAGTAGTCAGTTTAAGCTTTTCACACTATTATATCGTTTCTTAAACCTGTGAGATAATTTACAGGTTTTGAAAGACTACTCAGTAGTTCTATTTGTCCTAATTTACGCTTGCAAAATATAATTATTTGAATAATGAATAACAAATATCTTTAAAGAGGTAGATTGTGTTTGTCTATTGGTACCACTAATTGGGTCAAACTAATGTTATACGTGAACTAATAATCACTTCAAGATAGGGAATTTAACTTAAATTATTTCTTCATTATGCTGGAAATATCTTGAACATGTTTGATTACAGTGAATAATTCATTATCATGTCTAAACATAGTCTACTAGTTTTTGCTGCTATTACATCTTTTATACATTATATTATACATATATGTATGAATTCCATTACAATCATTTCTCGTTTCTTAAAAGTGTAGAACAAAAAGAAGAAGAAACTCCTTCAAGTGTTGTGATGATTATTTTTAAATTTTCCAATAATTATCGCTACAGCAAGTTGTAAATAATGTGTGAATGCATGTTTGATAAACATTGCATCATAAATGGTCAGTCAAAATAATACCCAACCAGCGGCTCCTCAGACGAACGATATTTTATGGTGTAGGAGTAGGTTGGAAGAAGACTAGGGGCGGCCAAACCTAAACGTGGCACAAATCCATGAGGTCACTAACAAGTGAACTGAGTAAGCCATGTTGGTAGGTGTAGACTACCTGGTTGAGATCCGCGAGAAGATAGCAACCGATGATTAGAGACCTTGAATGACAGCTCAAAATCGTTTGCAATGGCGCAGCTGCATCCACTCTTTATGTTCTCTCAAAGTCTAATCTTCTGAATTGTTCATGTCCCTTTGTTTTTTCTCTTCCCAAATTTATTTCACTGGATTATACTCCTTGAATAACATCTTAAAACCCTAGTCTTTCCAATTACTGCTTATACTCTGACTACCTCTACCACTATGGGATTTTAATCGATAACTGCATCTCTGTGCTAATGTGGTATAGCTACTTGAACCGATGTATATATGTACGTATGAAGTTGTAAGTTGTTACTGACTGACAGTCAAAATAATATTTATATAATTGGAGAATTGAATTAACCTGTAATTCTTGATCAGCCTATTAAAAGTATATGATCGCTACATTATTGCTTAAAATACTACTCATTATATGTAATGGTTTAAAGTAATCTCGTTGTTGAAATTAAGTATTACATTTGACTATTTTCTGATAGTAAATGTTCATTCTTAGCGAATTGTCTTCTGAATAACAATACTACAGTAAAAATTCATTCTACTAACATGTATTGAACAGGATAAAACATTTGACCTGTATGCTGTTGCTAGGCTACAATCTGATTTTTATTAATATTACATATTAGATTGTTTATGATTTCATTTTGATCAAATTGTTTTAACTAATATTTGATCTTTTTTTTTTTTGTATGTTAGGCATAATTGAACAGTCGACATTTTTATTATGGAAACATTTAAGTAGTCTTATAAACAATCCTAATGCTGTAATTGGTGAAAACAATAAAGAAGCTTCATTAAATCAATCCTTACAATCTTCACATTATATTCGTAATCTTTCTACCATTAATAATCATAATAATAATAATAATTGCATTACTTCTCCAATGAAATCTTCTTTAAAACCCTTGTCGACTTTGACTACTATCAGTACTCCAACTAAACGTAATCCATTAATAAATACAACATTTGGTCATGAAAATAACAATATTCTTCAAAAGAATATATCTTGGTTACGTAATCATTGCGAACATTTGGTACAAGATGAAATAATGGAAATGCTTAGCCAATTAACGAAGGTAATTATGCTACATTAATTTGTTGTTTGTTTGTTGTTTTTTTTGTTTCTTCAATTCAATTCTGTAGTTAATGATAAATTATTAAAGAAAATTAATGGGATTATTGATTATACAACCTTTGTATTAACATATATAATTGTTTCTATGCTATTTAATGCTGTTATTATCTCTTCAGTTGCAAAGTCGAAGCTAATCCGTGTCGGGTAGTGACAGGTATCTACCTCAGTACAATGGAAGATGGTCGCGCAATTTCGTGGATTAGTTGATGTTAGACACTAACACCATTAGATGCCGGCTCAGTGGTCCAGACAGCAGGTTAAGCGTTCGCGCGCGAGACTGAAAACCCTGGGTTCGAACCCCGCGAGCGGGATCGTGGATGCGCACTGCTGAAGAATCCCATACTAGGACGAAACGGCCGTCCAGTGCTTACAGGTTTCCAAAGGTGGTCTAACATCAGTCCATTCATGTTCTCAATCGAAAAGAATCAGAAAAACAAATCCTTTTTTTAATATATAAACCATAAATGAGAGCTTGTTTTTGAGTGTATATATTGAGAGGTGGTCTAGTCACTAAACTATTCGACATTTAGAAGTTATACCACAGGTATGGAACTTTTGCCATCGATTTCAAGTAAAAACACTCAAATGATACCAGTAGCTCTTATACAAACATTATAACTCTGTAATTAGTATATGAGTTATACTGTAGTGAACGTGAACACGAACAAAAGTGATGCAGTCGACTGTATTTGACACAAAATACAGGACTTGTTAATAAAAGTCGAACCATCATATAGTAAATGCTTAATTTACAAAATGTCCATCAATTGTCTCAGAATGACTCAGACTTCATTATTTTTGCGTTTTCATACAAATTGCATTCTGTTTCCATTCTTTAATGTTCGATCTTCTTGTCTCTCTGCTGCCAGACATTCTGTTCATGACTAACATCATATACTACTTATGTCGATATAAGTAGCACACACTACAATACTACTGTCAGTATTATCTTTTTTATGAACTCATTCGTTTACACTAAATAATATAATCTGTATGCAAAACTTCATCATATATATCTGTACAGAAACTGAGATTCTAATTCGATTATCTACTTCGTATGATTTAATTCAGGTTACTAGTATTTGATCACAGATGTCTTAGAAATATTGCTGGAATCACCGAGTAAGTAATAGTGAGGTTAGACGCGGGGTATTGGGGAATGTTGGTAAATTATTTGATGAAATTGTAAATCTTCATCGACTGAGATGATTCGGCCACGTGTTACATATACCTGAATACCGTTTACCATGATACACAATGTTGACTAGTGTTGGAGACAATTGGAAGAACGTTAGGGGCATTGAAGTAACTACCATGAATTTGGTGTTCATCTTGTGCTTCTGAGGTGTAGCAACTTGAACTGATGCATATATGTTCCTGGTCCAACGATGTAGCTGACTGAAATGAATCGAAGTCATGTGGACATACCTACTTTAATTCTAATATTGATAAGTCTATTGTGATTCTTACGAACTTCGTTAATCTTGTAGAAAGTATGTATACAATTCAATTTCTTTGGATTTTCTTTAGTAGGTTATTGAATTCTATCACCTGGTTAATAAAGTTCCTTAATATCGTTCATGGAAGCAAACAATATTATATTTTCTAAATAATTCGTTTGGTTAGGTGTTCAAGACACTGATCATTTGTAAAATCTTATCTTGAGTACAATAAACACTGTTCAAGTAACAATCATGTAACTCATTTACCATGTGTATGTTTGTCTACTTGACTTTTAACACTTTTTATAGATAACTCATGATGATAACCGTTGAAGCCTAGGGTAAATACCACTAAGCCCGGCTATATGTAATCGAGCACGAAGCCAGATGCATGCTTCATTATATATTTTTGAGTCATGGTAATGATCCTTTAGCAAGTTCACCTACGGAAACCTTGTTAAGATTTTTTTTTTCTACTTCCTCTAACTAGTTAAATTAGGTCATCTTCTCAGTATCAGTTAAACGACAAAGCCATTACAATGATACTAATTCAACAACCTCACTAAACTATTCAATTGATAGTAGCAACAAACGGTATGCCTAAACTAAATGAAATTAATCGCTCAGGTTTTTAAACTTTAAACAATTGAACAATTGAATATTAAACAACTTAAACAATTAAAATATAACATCGTTTACTTTTTTTATTTTTAGGCTGCTTATTTAAAACAAAATCAACGATTATTTATACAAGTAATGCATAATCGTTTAGAAAGAATAATACAAAAACAATTGAATAATAATAATAATAATTCAACATCATAAATTGATTATCATAATATGGAGATAATTATTTAACTATATTAACTGTAAATTATTTATGTATATTTTTACTATTTGTCTTTATGTAGTATTGTGCTAATCAATGGGTGTTCGTTTGGGTTGTTTGTTTGTTTGTTTGTTTTTTCTTTTTTTTTTGTACTCTTCGTTAAATTAAAAAAAAAAGATAATGAAGCGAAATAAAAGTTTTACACCGATTTACTGTATCAGTTAGTCAGTTGCAACGTAGGATCAGGCATATATATATATATATATGGTATACTGTATATCGAATAATTTTTTCTGGTTAGCGTTTTTTTTTGACGAGTTAGTTTTCTACGGGATGGGGTTGCTAACCCCATGCCTAATCCTCCTCCTTTATCCGTGTTTGCGACCGGCAGTAGCCCCCTGAGGGGCTCCAGGCGGAGATCTGGAAGACGTAAAAACCTTTACATATTTGAGCAGCATCATTGATGAAGTGTCTTCACCCTTTCTCTTTCTCCTGGTGATCGATAGGTTCATGATACAATGGACAGCTAGGATGAAGTTGGATGATCTAGACTTCGCAGATGATCTGACTCTTTTATGGCAATCGCAACAACAAATGCAGGAGAAGACGACCAGTGTAGCAACAGCTTGAGCAGTAGTAAGTCTCAATATACACAAAGAGAAAAGCAACATTCTCCGATACAACACAGCATGCATTAATGCAATCACAATTGACGGAGACGCTTTGGAAGATGTAAACACCTTTACATATTTGGGCAGTATCATCGATGAACACGGTGGATCTGATGCAGATGTGAAGTCACGGATCGGCAAAGCAAGAGCAGCATATTTACAACTGAAGAACATCTGGAACTCAAAACAATTAGCAACCAACACCAAAGTCAGAATTTTCAATACAAATGTCAAGACAGTTCTACTGTACGGTGCCGAAACCTGAAAAACCACAAAAGCCATCATCCAGAAGATACAGGTGTTTATTAACAGTTGTCTACGCAAAATACTTCGAATCCGTTGGTCAAACACTATTAGCAACAACCTACTGTGGGAGAGAGCAAATCAGATCCCAGTGGATAAAGAAATCAGGAAGAAACGCTGGAAGTGAATACGACACACATTGAGGAAAGCACCGAACTGCGTCACAAGACAAGCCCTCACATGGAATCCTGAAGGCCGAAGGAGGACAGAAGGACCACTGAACACATTACACCGAGAAATGGAGCTAGACATGAGAAAAATGAACAAGAATTGGATGTAACTAGAAAAGAATGCCCAGGATAGAGTGGGTTGGAGAGTGCTGATCGGCAGCCTATGCTCCATTGGGAGTAAAAGGCGTAAGTAAGTAATTATATCGAATAGTTAAACACATGTATAGTGAATGATGACTTTGAATGAATTAACAATGCAATTTATTTATTTTATTAAGTTAAATAACCTTGGCTGCTACTTTGATAAGGTAATCAGTTTGGTTTATAGTGATGTCTTAATCGAAATGTATTGTTTCTTTGAGTATTAACATCCTAGGCAAGTCAACTGAAAATTTATGGTCTGATAGTGAGGTTCTACTACCGACTGTACTAGGGGTATAACAGCAATCAAGTGTTTTTCTTAGACAATCAGCGCCTACAGCGATGCGGCATCAAAATGGAAATGGTTAGCAAACGTCTGCACAAAATTCAGTCAGCAACAACGTAGAACTTCGTACATACGTACATCAGTTCAAGTTGCCATACCACATTAGCACAGAGATGCAGTTATCGATTCAAAGCCCGTAGTGGTAGAGGTAGTGAAAGTATAAGTAGTAATAGGGAACATAAGGGTTTGATGATGTTAGTCAAGGAGTACAATGCAGTGGAATAGATCTGGAAAGAAAATGAAGGACATGAAGAATTCAGAAGATTAGAGTTTGAGAGAACACAGATTGTGGATGCACCTACGCCATTGCAAACGATTTTGATCTATGTCATTCAAGGTCTCTAATCATCGGTTGCTATCGTCTCACGGATCCCAGTTTGCACAAATATTAATACACATTACCTTGTCCCACAGATTATGAATAGTTGTTCTTATTTTCGACAATTCACTTAATAGGATTGAAATAAAAGTCAATTACTGAAAGACTTTTATGTATGTACTTTTATATTACATGAGTCATAATATACAATTTTTCTATAGTGGTAAATACATGTACAATGCCATCAGATTATGAAAGATGAAACATGTATATTAATTACCATTTTTTTTTTAAATTTACATATTGGGAATCAACTGTTCTTTCTTTGTTGTTGTTTTTTTATATATCCATCTACTTTTACACTCCATTTTTCATTTTCGGTTGAATTTTTGTAAAACCACAAGTACTACTGAAATATTTATTGCCAACTTCCATTGGTTTTTCTGCAGCTTGTGGATTGACAATTTCAAGACCCTATAAAGAAAAATATCATTTAAGAAATTATGATTATTATTATTAGTATTAAGTGAAATGAATAAAAATTCAGAACCCCCTCCCCCCACACAAGATAAAGAACAGGTAATAATCATTTAGTAAATCAGCACAGCATAACAACAATAGTAAATTAAGATTTCCTCCATCTTATTTTATTATTTTTATTTTAACACATAGATATTGGTACAAGGAGGCACCAAATACATATGATTTGTGTGAGGGATGTGATACTGCTCGGGTGCTCAAACCAAAGCAGGTGTTTTCCTTAGGGAGCCACACCCGGAGCCTTCGACCTAAAAGTCTGATTCACAAGGTAGTGGAGCATCGTAAAGAGATGCAGTCCCATGGTATCCCGGGACTAACGATTAGTTCATACGCCATTTGTTCCCGCAGGATACTGAAGCTCATGTGCATCATTGGTTTGGGATCAGGGTCCGTGTACACCAACCCAGTTAAAGCGCAGGACATTCGCTTTTCGTCCTCTCAATCTTGTGAACAACACCCCCGCCACGAGAAGGGAGCGAGTAGGACTTTCCTGATAGAGGCTATATACGCGTAGCCACATGAGAGCATTTCGAGAGGGAGAGCGGACTCTCCCCACTCTCAGCCGTACCAGGGCATTTGGGGAATATTATTTCTAGTCCATTTCAAAATAAACATTTTAGATCAATGTAATACTTAAAATATGTAAAACAATGAATGTAATGAAATGATATTGGTGATGTAATATTTGTATGTTAGTAGAATATAAATTGAATTAAACCATGTTCTGTATAGGATTGCATCGGGGCACGCTGATTGTCTATTTCTTAACCAATCAGCGCTAGTGGATACTTGAAGAAGACTCTAGAATCTTCTCATATAAAAACGATAAATACATTAATGTTTTTTTTTATTATTGTGCTTCCCACTTCCATCTACCCCTGTTATTTAGAATATAATTTTGTTCCTGTTCAACTGTGTTCTGATTTGGAGATTGTGTTGAGTGAATTGGTGTTCAAGATTATTAAGCGATAGGAGTAGCTGAGTCGTAATAAGAAAAATTATAACATTGTGATTACTTAACAACACCATAGCAATAAAAAGATACCAAAATAAAGCTGCATGTTTGCAATAGAAGGTTCATAAAACCTACAGTTTATTAATTCATATCATTTCTCAATGAAACTATTACCATTTGAGATAGATACATTTTAGCTTGTTTTTCTATTACAACATATTGAGGTGATTGGCTATTGAAAGTTGGACATGTTTAGTCGGTTACTTCAAAAGCTTAAACTATAGAAGTGATGTTCTGTATGCTTAAATATCGCCTGGATTCTATGCCAGTTAGCATGAGTTATAAACGTTTTAGTTCGATTTCTTAAGATATCAGTGATCAGCTTGCAGATGATAAAATTGACATAATAGGTTGATTAAGTTGGAATTTTTTATGATTAAACTTTTTTCAAATTCGTTCTATCTGTAATACAGCATTAATCCGTGTATCTGTCTTACTCCCTGACTTGTATGAAATCCACTAATCATGATGAATACAGTATTACTAGTGACTTATGATGCTCTTCAAAATATAATAGACATTTTACTAGAATGGATAATTAGAAAATTAACTATAATCTATGTTTAAAGCGTAGAATACAAATTGGGTAAACATTTTACCTGTAATGGAGTGAATGCAATCGATGATGAAGTACCAGCAACATGTTTACGAACAGTAGAATTCCCACCCCAACTTGCAGCACCCAATGCAGTAGTAGGCATAGTGGACATACCACCAAATTTAGATAATTTCTGTTGTAATGCTTTGCTTACACGAGCTTTTGTTTTTGAATCAGCTTGAGGAGCACGTAAACGTCCTGCTATACCACGTTGACCAAGTGAACCTAATGAAAAGCCTAAATCACTTTGATAAGCATCATCAGTGATTTCACCAAATTGTATTCGATTTGCTGATCGTCTTAATTCACTCATACCTAAACGCTCCTTCATTTTTCGATAACGTCGACCACCTCGTTTTCTAGATAAAAAAAAGAATAAACCAATTGAAGACAAGTTACCAAAATAAGTCATTGAAAAATAAAAGCATTTAATGTATAATACAAGTTCTAAGCTTTAGATGATACTATCCAATTACTCGAACCGAAGTATGCATAAAGGAAATTAAGCCAATCAAATGATTAAGACACGAGCATTTTATAAGTAAGCAACTAAGTAACTCTTCCAAAACCACAGCTCTACTGTAACTTTAAAAACAAGTACAAGTTAGTACTAAAAGGCTAAGCAAATCGAAAAAGATGAAGTGTGATGTGAGAATTTATAAATTAATATTTGAAAATCGATTGATTAGTCACAAAGTATGTGCATCGGTTCAAGTTCCTATACCCAATTAGCACAGACAGATGAAATTGCCGGGTCAAATCTTAAGATAGTAGACATGGTAATAGAAAAGATAAGGCATCGAGGATACCACTCGAAAAGAAAATATAAATTAGTGGAACATATAAGGTTATGAGGAATTCAGTATTTCGGGATGACAAGAATGGATGCGCTCACGTAATTTTAAATGATTTTAAGCCATGCCATTTAAAGTCATTAACTATTGGTTACGATAATCACTTGCACCACAGCCAGGTGGCCTATATCTATCAGTCCAACTGTCAGTAACTCCATAGACTGATAGTCTTTCGGTTTGGCTGCCTTCAGGTTTCTTCGAGCCTAGTTCTGCATCAGAAAACATCGGTTATCCAGATAGAGACTGTTGGACTGAGTCGTGTTGTTCAGTGCGAACCACTCTGTTAGGATCAGAACGATTATCGTTGGAGACGTTGAGTGACACAGTTCAAAATCCGTTTGTTATAACTTGTGACCGCCGATTAGAGAGCAGTGACTTATCGATCGGATCAATGACGCGTAAACCCGTACGAGCAGCCTAGAGTTCTGATTGGTCCTGCTCCCTGCCTAGCCCAGCCAGTTAAGTCGAGAACACCAATTCAAGTCTCTGCGATATGAATCATGTATTTCAAAAATACTCGTTTTATATACCAATCAAACAGACCACAACGTACCATAAAATAGAAAATAACCTTTGTATAAAATCTGGCCAAAAGTGACTGTGAATGAGGGAGGTAGTAATTAATAGACAGGGCATAATTCAAGAATGAAAAATCGTATAATAACAGTTCATAGGTTAAAATAAAGCTTATGATAAGTGAGACATGAATATGAATAGTTTAGTTAATTAACAATTATCCGATAAAATATACGTATAGTACTGGTCCATAAATGAATCCCAAAAATTACCATTCATTATGTTTATCGGGGCATAACACCGTTGCAACAGCGTAAATGTATTCGCTTTTTTTCTTCAGTTTTAAAATCATTTTATACCTTTTATTATGAGAATTAATTCACTTTCCTCGAATTATATTCACTATGCCTAGTGTCATGTTTTTACTATCACTGATACTGTCACTACTTTTCATACTTTGATAGTTATACAGATAATTTCATATAGGTGTGTTATGGAAAGTGACAACAATGTATCTGTATGATAGGACTGGTCTGCGTCAACACCTGAACTAAGGATAGGGGGTGAAGTAGTCGAACGCGTCGACAACTTCACTTATCTTGGAAGTCTGATCAGCCCTAATGGGTTGGTGTCTGACGAAATCTCAGCACGGATTCGAAAAGCTCGCTTGGCCTTTGCCAACTTACGTCATCTATGGCGAAGGCGAGATATCCGTCTATCAATTAAGGGACGAGTATACTGCGCGGTAGTTCGTTCCGTTCTACTATACGGCTGCGAAACTTGGCCTTTAAGAGTAGAAGATATTCGTAAGTTACTAGTATTTGACCACAGCCTGACCGTTGTTGCTACCTTGACGTGGTGGTCGGGCTTGCCTATCGTGATGAAGCAACTGAGCTATACTGGCTGGAACAACCGTTCCTCAAGGTCCTACCATGCCAGACAGGTCGGTTGAAGAGCGGTAAGACTAAAAGCAACAAAACCAAGGTCCGAAGGCGAAGTCGTACTGCTGACTGTACAGAGGTGTGACAGCAGTAAGGTGTTTCCTTCAGACAACCAGCATGACAGCGATGCTGCCTTCCCACAGGAAGGGGTGGGGTTAGAAAAGGTCGACCCTAAAAATGCACACCTCGCCTTATCCCACGGATATCCGTCTCCGGCGATAAGGACTCAACAAGTACGGAGCTAACACAAAAATCACTCATAAAAAGGTCGTGTGTGACCGACCTCAAGCAGCTGTCCCTTGGGCACTGCGGTCACGCTCTCAGGTCACTATGACCAACTCTAATCCAATTTCCTTTTCAGGTACCTCCAGAAGAACCCTTCCACGGTGTGGGCAACCGGGAAGTGATAACCGCCCTCGTACCTCTAACAGCACTCAAGACCACTGTATTCATAGTCAACCTCCCTCTTCAATTCCTATTATTCCTCCTACATCGACTTTATACACTAAACTTCCTCTTTTAGCTTCCTCCTCAAGTGTCACCACAGCCAACGATTCTAGTGCGCAAAATACTGTCCCAGGTCTACTAAAACCCCGCTCCAAACTACACCTTGGGGCCTTCAACGTACGCACACTATGCCAAATCGGTCAGCAGGCTTCCTTGGCTAAAACCTTAGAATCTAGTACCATTGATGTATGCTGTGTCTCCGAAACACGCATACAGGATCCTAGCGTGGTCATTCACTTGACCTCACCTCGGCAAAACGGAGAGCCAACGAGATACACCCTCCGTGTATCTGGCGACCCGATGGCTAGTTCTCGTGGACTGGCAGGTGTAGGCATAGCACTAAGCATGAGGGCGGAACAAGCGCTATTAGAGTGGATCCCCGTTAACAGTCGTCTATGCGCTGTTCGGCTAAACGGCTCCGTAAGAACTCGGAAGGATAGGGACACACGTCGTTGCCTTTTCGTCGTTTCTGCCTACGCTCCCACTGACTGCAGTTCGGATGAAGTGAAAGATGAATTTTACAGAAAGCTGTCTGAACTTCTTCAGAAAGCTAAACGTTCAGACATAGTACTCGTAGGAGGTGACTTTAATGCCCAGGTAGGTAGCTTAAACAAAACAGAAAGACATTTAGGTGGGTATTTTAGTATTCCGGCACAGCGAACAGATAATGGTGATCGTCTGCTGCAGCTGTGCTCAGACAATCGTTTATTTTTAGCAAACACAAATTTTAAGCATAAGGAGAGACATCGTCTAACATGGCGACCCCCTGCACCAAACCAACGATGGACTCAAATAGACCATATTGCCATCAGTCATCGTTGGAGAGGGTCAATAGAAGATTGTCGCTCATTCTGGGGTACCTGCTTGGACTCTGATCATGCCCTAGTACGAGCACGCATCTGCTTGCGCCTCACTGGACGCAAAAGAGCCACACAAAAAAGACTCATTAGAACCGAATTGAGTAATGAGAAAGCCAAAAGTAGGTTCCAGGAACAACTGAGGTCACACTTAGGTAGTTCTGAAAACGAGACTGACCCAGATGTTGCTTGGAAAGTTATACAAGCAGCTGTGGAAACAGCAGTGACATCTACCAGTGATTTAAACCAAATGGTTACAAAGAACCAATGGATTTCGTCAAGGTCTATTGCACTGATAGATTCTCGCAAACTCATCCCATCAGGTTTTGAATACGATGAAGAGCGTAAAGAAATCAAATCTAGATTAAGCAAAAGTCTAAGGAATGATCGTGAGCAGTGGTGGGCAACGAAAGCAAAAGAGATGGAAAAGGCGGCGGCTATAGGGAACACAAGACAACTCTACAGACTAATAAAAGAAACTGGAATTAATAAATCAAGTGTAAGTCAGACCATTTCGGAAAAAGACGACACTCTCATCTGCTCCCAGTCCAGACGCTTAGAACGATGGGCGGAACACTTTAAGGAGCAGTTTAGCTGGCCTTCAGCTACTCTACAACTACCCTCTATTCCCAGACAGTGTGAATGGAACATTGAAGTAGGTCCCCCAACTCTAGCTGAAGTTCAAAAGGCCATAGTTAATCTGGAACGAGGAAGGGCAGCTGGTCCAGATGGATTGGCCCCAGAGGTCTTTAAGGATGGCGGTCTAGTCTTAGTGATTAGGTTGACTAATATTTTAGCTAAAATCTGGGAGTTAGACGTTATTCCATCTAACTGGTCACAATCACTTATCGTCCCAATATTTAAGAAAGGGTCAAAATCATCCTGTGACAACCACAGAGGGATTAGTTTGACTAATATAGTATCTAAAATACTAGCTTCGATAATTTTCGGACGCCTAACTAAGACTCGTGAACTGCAAACACGTGAAAATCAGGCTGGCTTCAGACCTGGTCGTGGCTGCATCGACCACATATTCACCATTCGTCAGGTTCTAGAACACAGGCATACTTATCGGCGTCCGACAATGGTGGTATTCCTTGACTTAAAAGCAGCGTTTGACTCTGTTGACCGAGAGGTTCTGTGGCAGTGTCTGTCATTGAAAGGCGTACCTCAGAAGTACATAAACCTTGTGAAGGCTCTTTACTCGAACACTACTAGTCGGGTCAGAGCCTATGGCGAACTGTCATCTGCTTTTGCAACCTCAAGTAGCGTCCGTCAAGGCTGTCCACTTTCTCCTTTTTTGTTTAACTTTATCATAGACATCCTGATGGAAATAACGCTCTCATCAACTGACTTCTCGGGTATTGATCTCCTACCAGGAGGTCCACTTATTGACTTAGAATACGCAGATGACATAGTCCTGTTTGGTGAAGACGCTGATGAAATGCAGAGTCTTTTGGTAGCACTGAGCAACAATGCTAGAATGTTTGGGATGCGCTTTTCTCCCTCTAAATGCAAGTTGTTGCTTCAGGACTGGTCTGCGTCAACACCCGAACTAAGGATAGGGGGTGAAGTAGTCGAACGCGTTGACAACTTCACTTATCTTGGAAGTCTGATCAGCCCTAATGGGTTGGTGTCTGACGAAATCTCAGCACGGATTCGAAAAGCTCGCTTGGCCTTTGCCAACTTACGTCATCTATGGCGAAGGCGAGATATCCGTCTATCAATTAAGGGACGAGTATACTGCGCGGCAGTTCGTTCCGTCCTTCTATACGGCTGCGAAACTTGGCCTTTAAGAGTAGAAGATATTCGTAAGTTACTAGTATTTGACCACAGGTGCCTTAGAAATATTGCTCGCATCTGCTGGGATCACCGGGTAAGTAATAGTGAGGTTAGACGCAGGGTATTAGGGAATGATGGTAAATCAGTTGATGAGGTTATGAATCTTCATCGACTGAGATGGTTGGGCCACGTGCTGCGTATGCCTGAACACCGATTACCGCGACGCGCAATGGTAACCGGTGTTAGGGATGACTGGAAGAAAGTTAGTGGCGGCCAAACCAAAACGTGGCATCAGTGCTTGAAGTCACTAACTTCTGGTCTGAGCCATGTTGGTAGATGCAGACTACCTGGTTGGGGTCCGCGTGACTATCGTAACCAATGGTTGGAGACTCTTGGTGACATGGCTCAGAATCGATCACAATGGCGTCGGTGTATTCACTCTCTGTCTTCCTTTAAACTAAGAGATTAAAATCACTTCAAATCTTTCTTTCTACGAACTAATTCTTTCTTCCTGTACTATCTCCTTATACACACTCTTTCTTCTATGTATTACCACCACTGAATTAACTACTTCTATGAATCCGGTGTTCATCTTGTTGTGCTAATGCAGTATGGCAACTTGGACCGATGCATATACGTGCCTGGTCCTACGTTGCAGCTGACTGACTGACTGTATGATAGGTTTTACATTGTTTACCATCGACTGACATTTTTAGTGACAACTTGATGTTGCGACAGAGGGGATGGAACTAATGGAATGAACTCAACTATTAAATTACTATAATATCCATAAAAACCCTTCTCTGATTATAATCATCATATGCTCACTAGTGACGGTTTCCAACAGGTATTTCCTGTAGTTCTAGTGAGAACCAGTGACTAGTGGAGTTGAGCCGGGTCTGTCGTGAGATAGTAACTCATTGATGACAATAGTGGGTATGTTGATCAATTTCGTGGATTAGTTAATTGGTTAAACATTAACACTGTCCATTGGATGCCGACCGGCTCAGTGGTCTAGTGATTAAGCGCTCGCGCGCGATACTAATAGGTCCTGGGTTCGAATCTCGCAGGGGGTGGGATCGTGGATACGCACTGCTGAGGAGTCCCGCAATAGAACGAAATGGCCGTCCAATGGTTCCAGGTTTTTCAATCGACTCATGATCTCAACCAAATTAATAATTATAAATTAAAGATGGAAAAAAAGAAAACTTACTTAGCAGGTGGATCGATTGGAGCTGGTAAAGCTTTAATTGTTTTTACTGGAGGTGGTTCTTGCCATTTATCAAATTTTCGTTCAATTTCTAATAAAAGCTTTTCACCAATATGTCCATCCTTTAATGATAAAATAAATAAAACAAAAATTTAACGAGATTAAAATGAATGAAAATACAAAAAAAGGAAAAAAAACAAAAGTGATTTGAAGTACATATACACTCAAATAACACATAAATATTGGTACAAGAAGGCACCAAATTGTTAGCGGGACATAGATTGGATTAAATCATGTTCATTGCACGCTTGCGTTGGAGCACGCTGATAGGCTAATTCTTATCCAATCAGCGCTAGTCGATGCTTGGGGACTCTAGAATCTTCTTATGTAAAAACTATGAATATACTAACGGTTTTTCCTATTGTGCTTTTTTCTTCCATCTAACCTTGTTATTTTGGAATATAATCTCCTTCCTGTTCAACCGTGTTCTGATTTGAGGACTTGTCGAGTGAATTAGTGTCCGTGAATAATAAGTAATAGGAATAGCTGGGTTAAAACCCTAAGAGAGAAATTATAACATAAATACATATGCGCCACACAAAATTTTATTTGTGTGTGTGTGTGTGTGTGTGGGCTGTGATACTGCCCGGGTGCCCAGATCGAAGCACGATATATACACTCAATAGAACAATTAATAAATAAATCAGCATAAATGGATAGTGGCTAATAGTAGAAATTTAAGATATGCGTTTCGTTCTATTTGAGACTCATCAAAACAAACAATAAAAAAAATTAAAAGTAACTAAATAGACTTAATTTTATGAGAAAAAAATAACATAAAGTTATGAAATCACTGAAAATACTGCTCTTATATGATAAAAACAATCAAGTGAGTAATACTGATATTTTATCAGTTGATTGTGTTATGCTTTGAATTTTACTTATTCTTACGCCTGTTATTCCTAATAGAGTATAGGCCACACTGACCAGCATTCTTCAACACACTCTGCTTTCTTTTCTAGTTCTATCCAATGGTTGTTCATTCTTCTCATGTTTGTCACTATTTCTCGACGTAATGTGTTCTTTGGTCTTCTCTATTCTTGTCATTTGACCTTGAGGATTTCAAGTGAAGGTTTACCTTGTGATGCAATTCGGTGCTTTCCTCAATGTATGTCCTATCCAATTCCAGCGATTCTTCCTGATTTCTTTATCCACTAGGATCTGGTTTGTTCTCTCCCATAGTAGGTTCTTTCTGATAGTGTCTGACCGACGGATCCGAAATATTTTGTGTAGAAAACTCGTAATAAATACTTGTATCTTCTGGATGATGGATTTCGTAGTTCCCGAAATTTCCGCCCCATACAGTAGAACTGCCTTGATGTTTGTATTGAAAATTCTAACTTTGGTGTTGGTTGCCAATTGTTTTGAGTTCTAGATGTTCTTCAGTTGTAAATATGCTCCTCTTGCTTTACCGATCCGCACCTTCACATCTTTATCAGATCCACCGTGTTCATCAATGATGCTGCCCAAATATGTAAAGGTTTTTACATTTTCCAAAGCCTTTATGATGTCTAAATATCACTGTTAAATAATTTTGCATAGTTTACATGTACACTAGTCAATAATTCAACAGAAATAGCATTAGACAGCAATAATCTGAAGATTATAGTCAATTATTCTTAAATAACGTAGAATATAGAAATCAATTCAAGTTGTCACATTATATCAGTACTATGAGGATGAAATTATCAAAACAAAGGTCATAGTTGAAGAAGTAAATGTATCAATGGAAGTAGAAAAAACTAGGGACAAACAATATGATTTGAGAAGAATGAATGAATTAATTAATTAGACAGAGTTAATACATCTGTCCTATTGGTTTCACACTAACAATGGTGCACATTAATAAGAGTGACGATCAAAAATGCGAATATTATTAAAGGTGAGCATTTAATGAGGGAATAACACATTTAATGGTGTAAAATATGTTCCGTTCGCCCTCTACCTGTTTACCCTACGAAAAAGAAAAAAGGTAGTTTTCTAAACTTCCAATGAAGAGTCTATTTTCAACAAATAATGTAATGTTTTTGAATCGAATAACAAATAGTTATTCTTATTACCCTCATACATCTCCGAAGGATTGTTGACATCCAGTGGCAACACCATGTTATTAATGCAGAGGTTCGGTATCGTGTGTTCAGGCAAAGAGACGATAATGCAATTGGTGTCACCATTTTGAAACACCGACTTCCGTGGCTTGTACATGTTCTACGAATGTCGTCCCAGAAAATTCCTCGTCGTGCATTATTTGCCGACTCTGGGACTGGTTGGAAAAAGCGGAGAGGTGGTCAGTATATGACATGGTGTCGTGGTATGAAAGAAAGCTGCAAAGGGCTGGCTTCTGTTAGTTCTTCACGACTCCCTGGTTGGGGTCCTAGAGATGGTGCAACACAGTGTCTAGAGACGTTTTGAGATATGGCTCAGAATAGAAGCCAGTGGCGATGTTGCTGTAACCTTCTTTTACTTTCTTCATAAAAAGTGGTTGCTTCTTCCTTAACTGAAAAATTTCTTCTGATTGTACCTTTCCGTTCCCCTCATTATTGTTATTATTACACTACCTTACACTAATCCGTTCGTTATTGTTCTTTTTTTACGCTCCTTACCCTCCTCTTCCCATTCTCATTGTTTTGTGTGGCACATTTATATTTGGTGCCCTCTTGTACCAATATTTATGTGTTCAAATAAATAAATAAATACTTTGAACAGTTATGCAATAGTTTATTTAGAAAGATGTTTCTGAAATCCCTGAGAAAGGTTTGATGAATCTTACTTTGAATAATTCACTTGATATTGTTTTTGTTTTTCATTTGTTTGAATCTTCTCATTGATGTTTAGGACTGAAATTGTTCAGTCTCTTATTGGCATATGTGCATACTGTGCGTATGCCTCGATATTGCCTTAATTTACAAGCATTATAAGCAAAGGTGGATAGTGGCTAGCAGTGGAATCCAGGACGCGCGTTTCGTCCTATTTGGGACTCGTCAGCTGGATGTACCTGCATCTCAGAGTTGATGTTCACTCCGGGACTCGAACCCAGTACCGTCCGCTTCAAACGCCATCGCGTTATCCACTTAGCTACTGAGTCCTGATAGCACAAGCAAGTGGCTATCAGGACTCAGTAGCTAAGTGGATAACGCGATGGCGTTTGAAGCGGACGGTACTGGGTTCGAGTCCCGGAGTGAACATCAACTCTGAGATGCAGGTACATCCAGCTGACGAGTCCCAAATAGGACGAAACGCGCGTCCTGGATTCCACTGCTAGCCACTATCCACCTTTGCTTACTTTGAATAAATTTTAAATGTTAAAAATATGTCTTTCTTTTAAGATTAAAAAGTCATACATGACATTCTTTATTATATGTATTCCCGAGAACATAGTCTTTTGTACTCTTCATAGGCGAAACTAAATAAACTTTTATTCTGTCAATTGTTGACGTCTGCAATAATAAGAATCGAATGACTAAGCTGTATTTAACATGAATTCAATGAACAGATGAAACTTATTAGATGGATCTGATGCAATTATTATTATCATAGCATTATTAAGTATGTATATCTGTATGTAAGTCAGATTATCATTTATTCTAGTGAAATCAGACTCAGATTAATGTTCGACAAGAAGAAGCTTTCAAATAGTTTAGCTTAAATTATAAATTCAACTATACTACAACAATATCTTCCAGATGATTTCACTGCTGAAGAGGTAGAAGTTTATCATTACAACCGTGAAATATGTACAAAAGCGTTGCATCAAGCTGTCATCATATCATAACTCTTATAACTGATTTTTCACACACAGTCAATCAGTTATTGACACTTCATTTTGATGTTAATAATTTTTAATAGTTGAGATCATGAGTCAATTGAAGCTAGATCACCATGGAAAACCTGGAAGCACTGGGCGGTCGTTTCGTCTTATTGAGGGACTCCTCAGTAGCGCGCATCCACGATCCCACCCCCTGCGAGATTCGAACGCAGGACCTATCAGTATCGCGCGCGAGCGCTTAATCACTAGACCACTGAGCCGGTCGGCATCCAATGGACAGTGTTAATGTCTAACTTCAACTAATCCACGAAATTGAGCGATACATCCACCATTGTCATCAGTGAGTTACTATCTCACAACAGACCCGTTGAACTCCACTAGTCACTGCCTCGCGTTGCTCAGGAGTCCCACAATAGGACGAAACAGTAAAATAATCCTGACAATATATTAACTGAGTGAATATAATAAATCATAAGGGGGTAACATTAATTTAATATAGGTGTAAATGTTATAAAACTTTCGCAACATAATTTGACATTTTTAGATGTATATATTCAAATTGTTTGCTAGTCCAAGCAGATAGTGTAGTTTCGATGTGTTCAACGACTACTTTGATACATATTGTTATCTCCTTATACTTGCTTTCCGAGTGCTGTTGCTGGGTTTCCACAACAGACTGTTTAATTTTCAAACTATTTAGACAATTCCCTTTGCAAAGCATAAATAAATTTCCATATACTTGAATGAGCGCTACCAATAAGTTGGCTAAAGCCTCCATACCACCACTTGACCACATTATTAGTTTCAAAAAGGTCTTTCACAGCAGAGGGTAAGTCGAACACATTTCACACTATTAAAAACTTTATTATCCCTTTCAATGTTCATCTTTATTAATATGCGCATTTTTGATGATCGCCCTTATTAATGAGCCCCTCACTCGCGTCCTTTTTATTGGATACTATCCGATTGTGATCGATTCTGAGCCATATTAACTAACGTCTGGAGACGTTAGGTAATATGGCTCACGGTGACAGCACTGACCCCAATCATGTAGTCTGCATCTACCAAACTCAGTCAATGACTCCACAGACTGACATCATGTTTCGATCTGGAGACAACTATCCTTCTAACTAACATTCTTTTATAAAAAAGAAAAGAAACTTACAGGAGATTCATGAAATAAATCTACTCGTGCTGCTAACGCCACTTTATTCGCTATCAATCGAGCAGCTTTAAGCCGTAAATCTGGAGGTAACTTTTGCACGATTTCTGAATTGAAAATGTATCCTGTGTGTGGTAGAACTGATGTATTACTAAATCCGGACAATAGACGCTTTTGTGCACCCAGCACGAGTATATTACACGATGGCATTTTAGTAAGTGCAGTTAGACCACCAGCATGACCTATTTTTTAACAAAAAAAGATGAGTAAGAGAATCAGTGTCAATAACCATCTTTTATGACAACTTGAATATCTGTTATTGAAACCAAAAGCTGACCTAAGTTGGAAAACTACTGAGCAGTCGTTTAGTCCCACTATAGGACCCCTCAGTAGTGAGCATTCAAGACCACTTCACCGGAGTTTAAACCCAAGACCTATCTTGCGCGCAAACTCTTAACCTCTAGACCATTGAGTCGAAATCCAACGGTATTCTAATGAAAAGTCGAGACCAGTGGAGTTCAACCATGTCAAATTTGAGTCAGTCGCCCACCTAAGGCAATAAAAGATGATCGCACAATATTGTGAACTGACTGAAGTGATACATGTAAACCACTGGATCATGGTTTGGTGATCTTAAGCTCATCAAGCAACCTGAAGGTCCCGCGTTCGATCTCTGCTGGGGTTGTGGATGTGTATTGCTAGAGTTCAATACAAGAACGAAACAGCTGTCTAAAGCTCCAAAGTTTTCAGTAGTTGTTTAAATTAACTCGACTAGTGATTTCTGTAATATTCAACAATCAGCTAATAATTCGGAAAATTTTATTAAAATTATTTAAATATCAACTAAAGTATAATCCTTGATCTTAAATCTTTTGATTCACTCATGAAATGAATTGTTATCTGTCAGTCGGTTATTTTAGCTCAAAAAACAACATAATCCAAACATCTTTTTCACATTACTTGAAACAAATAATAATCAAAAAAGAACTATGCATTTGAGGGAACTGGTTCTCCCTGGCGGATTTGATCCCGTGTCACCCAGCTTCACAGTCAGAGACGTTACCACTAGACACGCATGACATTGGTCACCTAGTGATCAATCAATTGTAAGAACTATGCATAAATTATTCTTACCCATTAATTTCGCTGCTGTTGATGCACCTACTAGAATGCTAGTATTTGCAGCGATAAATGACATACGTGATTCTACATAAGCTAACATTGTAACACGCATTTCTTGTAATTCAATTGCCATAGTACATGCTTCAACAATACGTGATAATTGATCTGATGTTAAAGATGACCCTTGAGTGGTTGATGCAGTGACTGATACAACCATAATTGTCGCTGGAGTTAGAAAGGAAGCAAGTAGATCTGTTTGTTTGGAACGTTCAAGTATATCATTTCCTAAAACCTTTTAAAAAAAAATTGAAAATTTAGGAAAAGATAAGTAATGATTACTCACTTGAAACGAAGTAATTCATTAAGCAGTCACTTTAGGCGATTAGAGGTAGTCGGGAAGAAAACTTATATAACCTATGTTTTGTCCTAGTTGGGAGTTCTTAGCAAGACGTGCATCTAGACTTGATGATTTTGATAAAAAGACTTCCATCTATTACTCAATTGTGCACAACACATGACCTGATTATGTACAGATCGTGATTTCTTATTTATACTAAGTTATATTCGTGTAATCAGCGTATATGATCGTCTAATTTTTCCAGGCATAAATAAATAGAACACAAAAGGTAAATCGGCCTGGTATCTTCGTGTCCTCATTGGTAAATGGTAATAGGAGGAGCTGAGTGAACCAACAGCAGCTCGGATTTTCAGTCGTTATTGGTGGTTATTTGTTTTATCGGTAAATGTAAATGTGATTGATCTGATTGGCTCAAAGCAAACTCCACATTTCATGGGTATACAAAAAGGTTAAATTGATAACATACATACGCAAAAGTAAATAAACTTACCAGTACAATTTTCAAATAATCCAAAAGACCTGGTACGAGAGATTCCAGTTCAGGGAATCGCATTGAATACAGATCTCTAACATATTTATGAATAATATCTAGTTAAAGAAAAAGAACAATCCCATTTTAGAACAAACCACTGACAGTTGACGAGAATTTATCATCAACTTTAATTATGTTGCTTAAGTGTTGGAAATTGTATCGCACTTTTTCCAAACATACTTTTCAGCATTCTTGGTTAATACTGTATTATTATCATTATTATTACTATTTTTTCATTTGATGTATACGCACCATTTGAACTGATTCCCAATTATGTTACCCAATGTCTCCAACCACTGGTTATGGAAATCCTACAGATCCCAACCATGTAATCTACATCTACCAACATGGCTTAGATTAACATTCGAAAACTTCGCGGAGTGATGCCAACTCTTTGTTTGGCCGCCCCTAACCCTACTAAAAACTACCGGCATGTCAGCCAATATAGTGAGGAGGGGAGTTGTTGGGTATACATAACACCTAATCATCTCAATTATAATCAGTTATAATCTTGCTAGTGCAGGTACTTTAATACTGAGGAGTAGCCTAACAATCTCAATTTAAACCAATGATACAACTCAGTAATTGTGTGCAGATTTATGGACTAATTGTTAGACTGATGAAACAGTAGTTTAGTTATTCTTGAGGTGGAACTCATACCCGTGATTTAGTGGTTTAAATTTCTACGAATAAATGTTTAACAACAGCACCAACTCCATCAAGTGTTTGTGACATGATGAGTACCTAAGACTTGTAGCCCAGCAAATCCGTCTGTACATAGTGTTCTTTCTCCTTTTTATTTCACTAAGATAGTTTTCAATAAACAAAAAAATCCTGTAGAAGAAACCTACTAATTTCATTGTCAATTTCTACCATAAGATTATTAGCTTCGACAATACATTGATATTCTGGATCAGCTTCAACAGGGCCATGAATTCGATCACGTTTCTTTTGTTTAGCAAAACGATCAAGATCCGCCATAACATTGGTTAACTGAAAATAAAATATGATGAAAAAAATGGAGATTCGGAGACAGAAGTAATTTACACAAAGATTGGGGATTGATTAAATTAGTATAAATACATCTAGTTGTTCACCTAGTGAGTAAATTCTCTTGAAAAAATTAAATAGAAATTAGTGCATTCAAACAACGCCAGTCACCTTCGCTCATTACCTTTGTTTAACACATGTAACTGTTATTTCTCATTGACTTGGGTACATTATATTTACATGTAGAAGTGGTTGGATAAAATTCAGACGGTGATTTTACGCAATCTGTTTAATAAAAATGTGAAATCAGGTTGTAAAAAACTCATTTTACAAAATATGGAGTGTCAATCTTATTTCCCTTTAAGATGCTTCCTATTTGTAACAATATACTTCCCCGTATTTATATTCCTATTGTTCAAAATACTTTTAGAAGTCAGGGTCTTAAACTGTTTTCTCTAGTCATCCTTTGCTAAAACTATGTTTACAAAACATTTCCAAATACTATTAATCAAGAATTATCTTTACAGTGAATTGGGTATATGAAAAGACAAGAGACTACATACTTCCGGTGTATTGATAAACATAGGGAGTCGAGAGTCATTCTAGTTTTCTATTATACCTACTGTCTTCGTGTACCTCATTGGAGCATCTGATCTGCTTGGAAAGAGTTGTTTCCTTCAATCCGTAATCTTCACATACACTTTCGAATACCTCATTAATTTTCTGACATTTTGGTTATTTCCATGATTTACAACTCAAAGAGTTCATTCCGCATACTTATTTGACAGGTGTTAAATGAAATTCAGTTATTGAACGACGGATAGTCATCGCACAGTACCATGATTAGGGAGAGCCCCAAGGTCTAATTTTGCAATAACTCATATCAGCAGACCTTATAACTTGATATTTTATTTCCGTACGATCAGTTTAAAGCTTCTGTTATACCAAAAATTCCCGTCTGGACGATTAAATGCTCAGATTATACACACTATTTAGAAACTATATACTAGTTTGGAAACCAAACTAAACTACACCTTCGAGCAACACTGGATTAAATAAATTGTGAGAATTGAAGTACGCCCTGATAATTGAAAATTCAGTACCTGAACCATAGACACAAAAACAATTAAGATTGAATACTATATTATTCTCCTATGTTTTTTCAGCTATTTTATTACTAGGATGACAAATTATGAGACTAAGATAGAATTTCTATTTATGATCATAAAAAATTACAATATGCCAAACAAAACAATAATTTGCTTTCCTTCATAGCAAATACTTACTCTATCACTATTTCTTAACTTGGCATAAGCCGTTATCGGAGCATCAGCAAAAGAAGAAGCAGTTTTAAATATATTTTTAAATCCTGAAGCTGATCCATTGGACTGAAAATCGTCTGATTTGGTTACACTTAACATAGTAACATCCTCTAGTTCATGTAAATTTGAGTCAGTTATTAATTCTTCAGATGTTTCAGCTCCTTCAAGATCAGCTAAAAGTTCATCAGCTAACGACATATTTTAAACAATTGATAAAACAATAGATTGTGACGTAATAACCTAGAATTAAGTAAGACAGTAGTAAGAGTTAATGAAAACAATTCATAAATAAGATTGAAATTAAATTAAATAATGAAAATAAGTTACACTGTAAGTAGCTTTTATCACGTTAAGTAATGGCTTGAAGGTAAAATACATGTGGATTACTAGTGTATGATGAGATATATCCTTTAAGTTGCTCATGTATGGTGGGAGCATAGAGATGAGTGCTGAAATATGGTATAACTATTAAGTTAATGCGATAAGTCGGTTAGTCAAACAAATGAAATTTAGTGACCAAGTTAGCTAAAACATGCATTTGATATACTTAGAAATATTGCGGGTATCTGCTGGGATCACCGGGTAAGTAATAGTGAGGTTAGACGCAGGGTATTAGGGAATGATGGTTAATCAGTTGATGAGGTTATGAATCTTCATCGACTGAGATGGTTGGGCCACGTGTTGCGTATGCCTGAACACCGATTACCACGACGCGCAATGCTGACTAGTGCAGGGGATAATTGGAAGAAAGTTAGGGGCGGCCAAACCAAAACGTGGCATCAGTGCTTGAAGTCACTAACTTCTGGTCTGAGCCATGTTGGCAGATTCAGACTGCCTGGTTGGGGTCCGCGTGACTATCGTAACCAATGGTTGGAGACTCTTGGTGACATGGCTCAGAATCGATCACAATGGCGTCGGTGTATACACTCTCTGTCTTCCTTAAATTAAGAGATTAAAATCGCTTCATATCTTTCTTTCTACGTACTAATTCTTTCTTCCTTTACTATCTCCTTATACACAATCTTTCTTCTATATATTACCACCACTGAATTAACTACTCCTATGAATCCGGTGTTCATCTTGTGCTAACGCGGTATGGCAACTTGGACCGATGCATATACGTGCCTGGTCCTACGTTGCAGCTGACTGACTGACTTAGTCACTGCCTATCTTAACGTGCGATGCTGGTTAAAAAATAGTTGAAGAGGTTAATTACAAATAGAAAAGGGTTGAATTGGTTTGTAACATTAGTGGCTGTCATTTTAAGTCATGTTGAGAAGTGTAAAATTCCCGGTTAATGAATAACTATTGGGCACATAAACATACGGTGCAGAGAACCTAGTTGACAACATTCATTGACTGAAACACATTGCTGATGAAGATAGGCCTGGACTGAGTGTTAAGATCGGTAGAAACGGCAGATAGCTCGTTAACCAATTTAGTTGGATATTGTAATTCGCAGGATTAAAACACCTTGTCACTGCATGAAGGCAAACACAAACGGTGAATTTTCGCTTTGCGTCTTTTGCAGGGAAGTAATCAAATGACAGTCAGATTATTTGTATGATTCTGTCAATGTGGATGTCGCAGAAATGCAAGCTAGGTACAGCCGAGGGGAATATCCCAAGTTTTTTTCCCTGTCGACCTTTGTTTTTTAGATGCTAGCATTAGCTCCGTAATATGGCTACAATTCTTTTCTTATTTTGTGGCAAGTTTGCAACAAACATTTTGCAAAATTACATGTATAATTATCGACTGCTGTTCCATTTCATGACTCAAATGACGAAAACGCCGCTCCATATTGACAATGCTGTAGTTGCAGTAATTTCCTACAGTGGTCCGATTTTGTTAAGTAAATGTTGTTTAAACCTACACTAAACTTGCTGCATCTAGTTCGATAAGACGAACTATATGCGGCAGGTAAACGTTGACATGTAATGGTATTTTTTTAACTAAGAAGCTTACGTAAACCTCGCATTACCTATTTCCTTTCCTTGGTTTATGGTTGAAGATAACTTTCCTGTCACTTAAAACGCTAATGCCCAACTATTCGGTCGGTGTAGATATTGTTGACAACTGCTTATGTAAAAATTGTTCATAAGCTGTTCTGATATAAATCACTATTTTGATTCACGTCGAGCACGCAGATAATTTGGCCGCCCTGAGGAATTTAAGGTGAACTCCTTAAGCTTTCAGGCAATAAAAAACTACTCCATTGTGTTTAACGAAAAGCTGTCTATTTTACGTGTTATTAATGTGAAATTTAGTGTTATTAGGAGCAATAGTAAACAAATCGGTGTTCATTTTGGGGAACAGGAAAGTCGGTGTTGGTTCTGTAGAAAAGTACACAAATCTATGTCGCTTTGCAAAAAGATAGACATCTTAAGAAAGTAAGTATGTTTATTTCAGAACATTTCTGCTTAAGGGAAAAATTTTGGGAAAAATGTGCACTATTTACCCGGCCTGTAGGAAAAGGTGGCGATTCTGTTCATCGTGTCCTACATACTTATCATCAACTCCACTAGGTATTTTCCAAGAATTTCCCTTGAGTCTGCCCTTATTTTCCTCTTTTGTTTATTTGGGATATGTAGAACTTGTTGTCTTCATCTAGGACTAGATGTAGCATTTAAAAGGTAACAAAGAGTATAGAAAAATCCGGCACGAAAATTTTAAAGCTCTATGTACTTGTGTCTCTTGGGATGGGATTCAAATCGCTTACAGTGAATCGAAATATAATACGAAGTATAACCACAATAGCAATCAACTTACAGGATGTAACGCAACACTGGAATGTTCCTCTAAGTCATAGGTCAGCTTCAACTTTCAACTTTCAGTCTTCAGTAATAAAGATAGTAGGTTAGTGAACCTGTGTTAAGCCTAACAGATTGTCTTCCAGTGAAGGTCCAGCTTCGCCTTGAAAACATTCACTGATGTGGCCGATACCACTTGTTCGGGCAAAGCGTTCCAATCATTGACTACACGATGAGAATAACGGAACCCCACCTTGAGTTTATAAGATCGTGGTTTATGAACCTTCTTGCTATGACCTCGGAGATTATTAGTGCTGGAGGGAGCAAAAAGATAAGACATATTAACACCCAAATCATAATTAAAGATACGAAATGCCAGTATAAGGTCACCTCGAGTTCTACGATACGACAAGGGGAAAAGGTTTAGGCGATTTAAACGCTCATCGTAAGGGAGTTTAGAAAGACCCTTCACTAATTTTGTTCTCACACGCTGAACACGCTCAAGTGACTTAGTATTTTTTACCAGACATGGGCTGGCTGCTTGGATACAGTACTCTAAATGTGGTCTTACGTAGGTGGGATATAAAATTCGAAACATTTCATCGTCAGAGGATTTGAACGCTCGGCAAAGTGACCACAACGCACGAAAACCTTTGACAGTGTTGCAATGCGTAGTTGTTTTTAGGTCATGACTTATCATTACTCCTAAGTCTTTATGTTCTTGAACGCATGGAAGAGGTTTACCATCAATAGTATAATGGTAACTATTGCCGTGACTGATGTGCATTCGCACACTCTTCCTAGAATTGATTTCTAAACCCCAATCTCGAGCCCATCTAACTAAATCGTCTAAGTCAGCTTGGAGATCCAGATGATCAGCCTCATTTCTTATTGTTCTCCAGATTTTGACATCATCCGCAAATAATAATGTCGACGACCTAAGCAACAGCGGCAACTCATTTACGTAGGGAAGGAATAGCAGTGGGCCTAATATGGTGCCTTGGGGTACATCACTTTTGATCGGCACCCAATCGGATAGCGTCCTGTTGACATTCACTCTCTATCTGCGGTTACATAAGAAGTTTCCTATCCACTCCTGTAGAGCACCTATTATTCCGAAGCTTGTGAGCTTCTGTATAAGATCTAAGTGTGAAATCTTGTCAAATGCTTTGCTAAAATCTATGAATATAACATCGACAGACACACCTTTATCTAAGGCTGTTGTCCAATCCTTTCTTGCAATAAGTAAGATAGTCATGCATGAACGCTTATCACAAAATCCGTGTTGCTTAGGAGATAACAGATTGTGTGAATCCATGTGGCTTAGCAACCTAACCCGAATTATCTTTTCAAATAACTTAACGACAATGCTAGTCAGACTGACAGGCCGGTGGTTATATACGACCTGTCTCTGACCATCCTTAAATATAGGACTGAAAATAGCATCTTTCCAATCCCTAGGGAGTTGAGCGAGTGAAAGGGACATGTTGAAGAGTGTCACGAGCGGTTTTGAAATAATGTCCGCAAGAGGTGACAGCAGCCATGAATGTAACTTTGCACGTAAAGACACAAACTAGGCAAAAAAACGGGAATAAATTCATGCACATGCGACAGCGTGAGAAACAATTATTGAAAAATTAAATATGCACATAATACAATAGTTGAAATCATGAGTCAATTGAAGCTAGACCACCATGGAGAACCTGGAAGTACTGGATGGCTGTTTAGTCCTATTGCGGGACTCTACGGTAGTGCGCGTCCACGACCCCACCCTCCTCAGGATTCGAACCCAGGACCTATCAGTATCGTGCGCAAGCGCCTAACCATTAGACCACCGAGCCGTTACCCTTGTGATAATCATCTGCTCACTAGTGACTGACTTCAAGAGACACTCGTGGAGTTCTAGTGAGAAGCCGTGACCAGTGGAGTTCGACCAGATCTGTTGTGAGATATCAGCTCACTGAAGACAATGGTGACGGCGGCAAAATTTCGTGGATTGGTTGAAGTTAGACATTATCACCGTTGGATACCGGCCGGCTCAATGGTCTAATGGTTAAGCGCTCACCCGCGAGACTGATAGGTCCTGTGTTCGAATCTCGCTGGGGGCGGGATCGGAGATGAGCACTACTGAAGAGTCCCACAATAGACGAAACGGCCATCCAGTGCTTCTAAGCTTTCCATGGTGGTCTAGCTTCAATTGACTCATGATCTCAACAATTGAAATCAATTTTATTTAGTGAAATAATAGTCTATGATAAGATAAAATGGTGCTGAAAATTTAGAAAACTTGAAATGGTATCTAAGAACAGTAAACCAGAGAACCATGTACCTATTTATATTCGATAATTTTGTTGTTTGATTATAATTTTTCTTGAAAAAGCTTGGACCAGATTGCTAGGCGAAACGTTGAATTTACTTAAAATTCATTCGCTGAGATTTTACAAATACATTTTTTTCTCTTTAATTGAAATGGTATCTTATCATCAATTGGAAATCAGTTATTGAAAAGAAATTATGTAATAGTAGGCTAGTGAAAAAGTGGTAAGGTGAATTGATTGTCTACTTGATAACTATGAAGAACAGAATATTTAAAAGTTTTGATAGTAACTAATAAATAATTGTGAAAATAATTGAAAATAAATAGATTATTGAACATAGAAAAAGAGGTTTAGATCATAGAAGAATAATGGACTGAATATACTGGTTTTATACCCAAATGTTAAACTTGAACTATTGGAGAGTTCCTTTTGGAATAAATATATAAGTATAAGCATATTACATTTTTTTATTATGTGTAATACAAAGGAAAATCGAGATGGAGCAAACTGTTACTGGGGTCTTACGTGCAATGATCGTTCAAATGTTCTGGAAATCTTACTCTTCCCCCAGAACGCATTGTTTTGAGTCTATCTTCAAATACTGCTGAAGTTTCAACGTGCGTGTTGGCTGTTGGATGAGATATTATATGTGTAGGAGCCGTGTGCCAGTGAACCGAGGGAGAATCGACGTGGATCGGATTTCCTTGTAGACACACTGCTTTGATGAGGTCGATGCTGATGATTTCGTTGGTTCCGATCCTATCAGTTATGCATTACCTGAGTTCGCGTTCAAGAACTTTGAAAGGTCCTTCATATGCTGATTTGAGGGGTCGTCGATGTGAGTCTCAACGTACGAAGATGTGTGAACTATGTAGTTGGTCAGGCTGAAAGAAAACATCAGCAGACTGTGGTCGAGTTGAAACAGGTTTAGTTGAACGCATTTCGTTTAGAAGCCTGTTCGTGTAAAAATTTAGATCCATATTCAACGAAGAAGATGAAGAATCCACAACCTTTCCTGGAAGTTGAAGTGTCGTTCCATAAACGAGTTGAGCTGCAGCGTATCCAATGTCAACTTTTACTGCATTGCGAACACCCAGTAAGACAAGTGGAAGAGCGTCAGTTCACTGAGAAATGTTTGTAGCTGATAGTGAAGCTTTTAGTTGTCAGTGAAAGCGTTCTACCAACCCGTTTGCTTGTGGGTGGTAGGTCATCGTTCGGAAGCGAGTGATTCCTAATAATGCTGTCAGACAACGGAAAAGTTCAGGTTCGAACTGACGTCAACGATCTGTAGTGATTGTTGTTGGGCAGCCGAAGTTTGCTACCCATCTATCGACGAAGGCGCGGGCCACTGTTTCAGCAGTAATGTCCTTGATAGTTACTGTTTCTGGCCATCGAGTTAAACGGTCTACACGAGTTAAGAGGTAAGAGTATCTATTTGATTCCGAGAAAGGTTCTACCAAATCCAGATGAACATGGTCGAAACGAGCATCAGAAGTTTTGGATGAACCTAAGGGGCATTTGTTGTTCGGAGCTACTTCTGGCACCAAGCCTGGATAAATAAGGGTGGTTGGGCACAAAGTTAGCCGCCCCATCCCGTAGGAAACTAACTTGCCAAAAAACGCTAACCAGAAAAAATTATTCGAACCACTTAAACTCAACCCCGGGAGCCAGAAGCTCTTCATTTAGAAAAGTTATGAATCCCCATGGTGATAGCCGAGTTCCTTCGCAAGCCACGAGGCTAATGTCCCTTTCGACAACCAGAGCAACCATTTATTTAGGTACACGGAATGCTCATACAATGTGGGAGACTGGGAGAGTCTTTCGAATTGCTGCAGAAATGAGAAGATACAGCCTGGAGGTGCTTGGGATCAGTGAAACACATTGGTCGGACGTTGGACAACAACGACTAGATTTAGGAGAGCTTCTGTTACACTCTGTCCATGAAGATGAAAATGCCCCACATACACAAGGAGTTGCATTGATGCTGTCCAAACAAGCACAAAATGCACTTATAGGATGGGAATCTCATGGACCAAGGATCATCAAAGCCTCCTTCAAAACAAAGAAAGAGGAATTACAATGAACGTCATCCAATGCTATGCGCCTACCAACAACTACAATGAAGACTCTAAAGATCAGTTCTAAGATAGGCTGCAGTCAATCATCGAGAAGTGCCCGACAAAGGACCTGAACATTCTGATGGGAGACCTAAATGCCAAGGTTGGAATTGACAACACCGGATATGAAGACATCATGGGAGGACACGGACTGGGAGAAACGAACGAAAATGGTGAGAGATTTGCAAATCTATGTGCCTTCAATAAACTGGTCATAGGCGGCACTATATTCCCACATAAACGCATACACAAAACCACATGGACTTCACCGGATCACAGCACACAGAACCAAATCGACCATATCTGCATCAACAAAAAGTTCAGGAGGACGATGGAGGACGTGAAAACCAAAAGAGGGGCTGATATAGCATCAGATCATCACTTGCTGGTCGCCAAAATGAAATCGAAACTCAAGAGGCACTGGACAACGGGGAGGACAATATCACAAAAATTTAATATGGCTCTTCTTCGGGATACTGACAAACTCAACAAATTCAAGATAGCCCCTAGCAATAAGTTCCAAGCCTTTCATGATCTACTCAATGGAGAAGGAACTACTATGGAGAGCAACTGGAAAGAGATAAAAGAGGCAATCACTTCAACATGCCATGAGATTCTGGGCCAAAAGAAGCACCATCACAAAGATTGGAACACGGTCGATACACTGGATAAGATTCAAGAAAGGAGGAACAAGAAGGCAGCAATCAATACCAGCCGAACAAGCGTAAAAAAAGCCAAGGCACAAGCTGAATACATAGAAATAAATAAGCAGGTGAAGAGGAGCATCAGAACTGACAAACGGAAATATGTGGAAGGTTTGGCAATGACGGCTGAAAAGGCTGCCAGAGAAGGAAACATGAGACAACTGTATGACACAACAAACAAACTCTCTAGAAATCACCGTAAACCAGAACGACCAGTGAAAAACAAGGAAGGCAAGATAATCACCAACATTGAAGAACAACGAAACAGATGGGTAGAACACTTCAAAGAACTCTTGAATCGACCAGCCCCACTGAACCCACCCAACATCGAAGCAGCACTCACGGACCTCCTAATCGATGTTAGCCCACCAACAATTGAAGAAATCAGCATGGCCATCAGACAAATCAAGAGTGGCAAAGCAGCAGGACTAGACAACATTCCAGCAGAGGCACTGAAAGCAGACGTAGCGGCAACTGCAGGGATACTCCACATTCTCCTCAGAAAGATTTGGGATGGGAAACAGATACCAAAAGACTGAAAAGAAGGACTTCTGGTCAAAATACCAAAGAAAGGCGATCTCAGCAACTGTGACAACTACAGGGGAATCACTCTCCTCTCAATACCAGGAAAAGTCTTCAACAGGGTATTGTTAAACAGGATGAAGGACTCCGTAGACGCCCAACTTCGAGACCAACAGACAGGATTCAAATCGCAACTCTACGGATCGTTGTGGAACAATCAATTGAATGGAATTTATCACTCTATATCAACTTCATTGACTACGAAAAAGCATTTGACAACGTAGATAGAACAACACTATGGAAGCCTCTTCGGCACTACGGCGTGCCTCAGAAGATAGTCAATATCATAGGGAATTCCTATGATGGATCAAACTGTAAAATCGTGCATGGGGGACAGTTGACAAACTCCTTCGAAGTAAAAACCGGTGTCAGGCAAGGTTGCTTACTCTCACCCTTTCTCTTTCTCCTGGTGATCGACTGGATCATGAAAGTGTTAACATCTGAAGGGAAGCACGGGATACAGTGGATATCTAGGATGCAGTTGGATGATCTAGACTTCGCAGATGATCTGGCTCTTCTATCGCAAACACAATAACAAATGCAGGAGAAGACAACCAGTGTAGCAGCAGCCTCAGCAGCAGCAGCATTAGGTCTCAATATACACAAACGGAAAAGCAAGATTCTCCGATACAACACAGTATGCAACAATCCAATCACAATTGACGGAGAGGAGTTGGAAGATGTACAAACCTTTACTTATCTGGGCAACATCATTGATGAACAAGGCGGATCTGATACAGATGTGAAGGCGCAGATCGGCGAAAAAAGAGTAGGATATTTACAAATGAAGAACATCTAAAACTCAAAACAACGTTCAACCAAAACCAAGGTCAGGATTTTCAATACAAATGTCAAAACTGTTCCATTGTAACAACCTACTACAGGAGATAACAAACCAGACCTCAACGGAGGAAGCAATCAAGAAGAATCTGGAAGCCGATAGGACACACATTGAGAAAATTAAAGGACTTCGTCACAAGGCAAGTCTTCCTCAATGCCAAAGGAAAGGAGGGAGACCAAAGAGCACATTACACCAAGAAATGGAGACAGACATGAGAAGAATAAACAACAATTGGATAGGACTAGGAACAGAGGGTGTTGGAGAATGCTGGTTAGGACGGCCTATGCTCCATCGGGAGTAACAGGCGCAAGTAATTAAGTAAGTAAGTAATGAGCTTCATGGTTGCACGAACACTTGGATGAGAAAGTTTGTGCAACGTGTTGAAGACGTTGGGTCGATAATGTTTCGGCACGATTGGACGATCCCTACCTGTATATGTGTCACACAGTAAGGTTTCTTTACCTGTTCCCATCTGTTTAATGCGTAGTTTTAGGGTTATTGAAGATAGTTCGCGCTGAAGAGAAATGTAGTCCAGTTGTCGAGACCCTTGAGGAGAGTACTTGTTTGAAGATGAACTTAAAGAGAAGGTTAGAAGTTTATGATCAGTAAAACGTGTGAGATCACGGCCTTCGACGGAGTGTTGAAAATGCCGTAAAGCACAATACATAGCCAGAAGTTCCCTACCAAAACTGCTATACCTCGATTCAGTGTCTAGCATCCGTCTCGAGGAAAATTCTAAAGGTTACCAAGAGTGGTTAACCCATTGTTGCAAGACTCCTCCGATTGCTGAGTCGGATGCGTCTACTGCGATACTAATGGGTGCTCGAGCGTTCCGATGTGTGAGCATGGTTGCCTTTACTATAAGTTCCTTAACTGTGGAGAATGCTTGTCGCGCGGTACCGTCCAAAATGATGGATTTCGCGTTTAACGAAGTTAGTCAGTGAGAAGTTTCATGAGGGACGCACATTTTGGTACGAACCGTCTATAGAAACTTACAAGGCCGTTAAACGTGCGTAATTGCTTGATGGTGGTCGGTTCTGGGTAATCCAGAATGGTCGCCACTTTTGTTCTAAGGGGTCGGATGCCTTGCGCATCGATAGTGTGTCCTAGGAAGTCTAATGAGTCAGTTCCGATTTGGCATTTCTGAATGTCTACAGTAATGCCATGTTTTTGTGGTCGTCCGCAAACAAGATCCAGATGCTGGACTTACTATTGGACAGTCTTCAACGTACGCATGCAACGGAGATGCTCATGGGCTGCTTGACGGTAGAACGATTCCTAACTCCATCGTGTGATCGAACTCGTTTTTGGCCAACCTCAGTTGTTCGATAACCAGCCGGCGAGCTATCGAGAATTCGGGAGGTCCCGTAGTCGTGATTTGATGTGCAACATTGCTGGTTACACACGACAATTTCCGTTGCGGTTGGTATATCTCGGAATGCTTATGGAGTAATGGTCGATAGAATGGTTCTGTCGTGTGTAACTGTGACGGTGGGTAATCTGCAACCGGAAAACTAAGTTACACAAACAGATAAATTAGTGTGTCCGTCTACCAGTTTCCGTTTGCGCTTATCGATCAGTAGATTGTGGTGTTGTAGAAGCGCTGTACCAATGATTGGCATAGGAACATCTGCAACAACGAAAATCCAGTGGATGGGTTTGCGTATACCCACGTTAAGGTAGACGTACCTTTTACCATATGTGGCGATTGGCTTTCCGTTTGCTGCCTGTAAGTGAAGCCGATCGTTAGAATTTTATGGAAGAACGATAACTTTTTCACCAGTATCAACGAGGTGGCAAACTTTCGTTATCACATCTGTGACTTATAACAGACGACCATGTTTGCCGGCTACAGTTGCCGTTAACACGTGCTGCAAGACTTTTCATACTAGCTATGATACCAGCATCAGTCGGGGTTATCCGTCTCTCGTGGGCTAGAGACAGATCGCTTATATGAAGTGCTTCGTCGCGGGGTATGTGAATATTTACGGTAGTTGCGAAATCTTAGATAACGTGTAAGTGTATGACATAATTCCGATATGGCATTCTGGGTCGTTTGAGAATGTCTTTGACTGGAAAAACCTCGTCATTAGAAGATTTTGTGATTTCCAGGATGCGGTCGGCAGATGCAGCCAGCTCGTCTACGGCGTTGTTTTGAAACGAGACCAGCACAGCTTGCACCTGTTGAAGAAGTTTAGATAAGAAAAGTTGTCTGAATAGGCCATCATCGAAAGTTCTTTGACTAACCACCTTTCTTATCCATAGCAACATGTCTGTCACAGAACCGTGTTGCAGGTCAATATTATTAAAGGGTTGGTCTAACTTTTGTCGATCGGTTAGATCTCCGCGTTTAAGGTTAGCTCGTTTGAGAGTTTCGTAAGGTTCCGAAACATCACTAGTAAACATACTAGGTGTTATGTACCTGTTGAATTCGAGCGGGAGTGCCTTGACTACTGCGAAGAACTGTGCACGTGTGTCGTTCACGTCGTGCTCGCGGAAGTCAGCCTCTGCATAACAGAACCAGGCTTCAATGTTGTCTGGCCAGAAGAGCATCAGTTGAAAAGAGCATCGACTGATCTAATCTGGCTAGCGATTGCAGTAGATGTTGAGCACGACGTTCCCACTCGTGATCTAATGCGTATTCATGACCGAGCGCATCCAGCTAGGTGATTCTATTAAAACTAGTGTGGTTAGCATCCACTGCCGAAGACTTACAGAGCTATTTATTTTGGAGATTTATTTACCACAACACCATGTTAGACCACACTTGGATTACTGTGTCTTGGCAGCTAGCCCACGTCTGATAAAGGACACTAGCTCTCTTGAGCGTGTTCGGCGCGTGAGAACAAAATCAGTGAAGGGTCTTTCTAAACTCCCTTACGATGAGCTCTTAAAACGCAAAATCCCTTTCCGCTTGTCGTATCGTAGGACATGAGGTGACCTTATACTGGCATTTCGTATCCTTAATTATGATTTGGGTGTTAATATGTCCTACCCTTTCGCTTCCGTCAGCACTAATAATCTCCGAGGTCATAGCAAGAAGGTTCATAAACCACGATCTTATAAACTCAAGGTGGGGTTCCGTTTTTCTCATCGAGTAGTCAATGATTGGAACGCTTTGCCCGAACAAGTGGTATCGGCCACATCAGTGAATGTTTTCAAGGCGAAGCTGGACCTTCACTGGAAGACAATCTGTTAGGCTTAACACAGGTTCACTAACCTACTATCCTTATAACTGAAAACTGATTCTGTTGCCTTGGAGGCAATTTTGTTTCCGTTCAAGGTCAAGGATGGATGGACTTCCTAGGCTCCCGGTTATTAGTTTGCCTATGAAAAAGTCTGAGTTAGTGCCTGATCTACAGCCATTGAAAAGGGTATATTAAAATTGCTCTATATGGCCAATATTTTAGTACATCGAAGTGCAATATCAACAATCTCCTAGTCTCTTCGAGAAGGAATTTAATAGTTTTCTTAACTTACGAAAAGTATGGTGAAGTTTTCACATATTGTTTTGTACTAGTGTGCCTGCGAACCTTCTATCGATTACACTGGACTTTCTCAATTGAAACGATATTATGCTCAACTGCAGCTACTCAAAGGCAGGTTTCACTTTTCCGCTGCAATGTGTACGGATGTGACGTGGAAATGGTAATTAGTTATTTAAATGCTTATCTTGCACAGGCAAGATATTTTTTCTGATTGTCTCTTGGAGTCCTCGGATATTCGTTTAGAAGAAGCATCCATAATGTATAACATCGCCGCCCTTCATTCTATTTTGGGTGTCAAAGAGAAGAGAGCAGATGCAGATGTAAGTTTATTTTTCCTGCTTAACTTTGTGGTTTCTTATGGTGTATCCAGAGACCCCAAAAGGTCCTGACAGTTTTCTGTACTGATACGTCTGGTTTTCTGTGATACTTGTAGTTAAAGATCATAAGACTTCGGTGCGTATAGACGGGTTTAAAGTTTTATTTCAATTGACCCCCATCTTTAAAGATGTAAACAGACTAAATAAAAAGAACTTAATTGGAATTTAAGTCTGCCGTCCAAATCTTTTGCAAAGCTCTGGTTAACGTCTAATTGTCCGTGGAAGCAGAATTTCAAGACTTAACTGCACATAAGACGAGGAGACTTACCTAGAATCATATGTAGCTAGTTGACAATTATACAGTGCCAGATTTGTGCATTATGGGGTCAAACTACTAAAATAAGACAATCAGATCTAAAAACAGGTGGGTACACAGTACTTGACTCCACTTTTTTGTAATCTCAAACACACATTAGTGAATGTTAAGGATAGGTTACCAAAGGAATAACAAAAAAATGTTGTATGAGATCAGCTGTCATGATTGTAATGCAGCTTATGTGGAAGAATCATTCAGACAATCGAATGTAGGATTGAAGAGATACAGTGTTTGAAAAATTCCCAAATCCTTGGTTGACTTAAGGAAACTTGAGAATAAATCTGCGATAGCATCACGTGCGTTAGAAACAGGACACAAGATTAATTTTGAAGGGACCAAAATATTTCAGAAAGGTTTTAACACTCATAAATAAAGATTGACAGCAGAAGCGCTGTGTATATGGGCGAACAAAAACAGCCTGAGCCGAAAGGATGGTATGTAACTAGCGACTACCTGGCAAATATTCGTTGACAAGTAACTTGGACCCTTTTTTATTCAACCTGTTTATTTCACATACATCGTTATTTTGACTGAAATTAATGTGAGTTATTTTAGCAATACAATTATGTATTTAATGATTCTTAAATTTGACATGCACATCGATGATTTAGAAACAATTTTTCAACCTTGAACTTGCACTTTTATTTATTTGTTCCTTCATATAAAACATATTAATACCGAATATCAATAATTAATAATTTGATCTTATACATACATACATACATACATACATACATACATACACATACAATTCGTTTTCAGTTATATATTTCTTTGTCATAATCTTTTCACATGATTACCATGTAACTGACTCATGTTATCTTATTTTACAAAACTCAACATCCAAATATGATTGGATTAACAGAGTATAGATTTGATTGTTGAAAGCTATATATTTCTTTGATGATTTTGATTATTACCCTGAAGAAGTCCAGACAAGTTAGCTGGACGAAACGTTGAAATTATCTAAATTCCAATCGCTGGGATTATTTCAAATAATTTCACATAAAAATGTAGTTTCACACAGCGTTTTGGTTTGCATGACAACCTCCAACCTTGCGTGTTTGTTAATTTAAATGAGTTACATTAGTTTGTTTTCATTTTGAAATCATATGGCCGGAATTATTGTAATGTATTTTAATTTAGTATAAAGTTATTTCTAATACAATACATTTGTTTTAAGTTAACTGATGCCACGTTTTCTTAAAGTGATTCTTGGTCGCTGCTGAGATCGTGAAGATAAGGGCTTTCGAATTTGGTTTCACTTAAGTCGTTTTTTTATGTGAAATATATTGTCATTGTGACAGGCATCACGTTGATGAATAACCATCAACCTACAAACTAATTACTATCTGTTCAGTGTTGATGTGGTTTCAGATTCGTTTTTTGAGTTACTGTATTTCCGTGATTCTCGATTCCTCACATGATTTTTCAAGTCCGTTCAATTAATTCGATGGTATACAATAGTAAAAGGTTTTCATGATGATTCTTATAGCATTGATATCCAAAACTTTACCTTTCATATCCTACGCTTTCTTGTAGACATCTTTATTCCCAAGATAGGTAGTTGGAAAGTTGGACGATTGGACCAGTGCGTTATAATCATGTCTGTTATGTTGGTTTAATCCAGTTGTTCACGTTAAAGCAAATAAGATGTAACTCAGATGTTTGTTAATATATTTGAGAACGGGCTTCAATCGTTAGTTGTGAAAACATTGTTTATTTTACTCGAAAATCATAGTCTCTTGTTTTGACCTATAGTAAGTTATCTTTGTCTTTGTGTTTCAGAGTATGAAAATTGCTTGTACTCATTTTCAATGCGCCTCTTGGGCTCTAAATACACTAGTCGAGCGTCATCTGCCCGTATCAGGTGCAACCGATTTGACCAGTGAGCTCATGCTACTCTTCGGGTCCTTGATGCTAGTGAGTTGTTTTTAGACATTGTTTTTGTGTTTTTAACCTCAATGATGAAAAAGGGTTCAATTTGCTGTTTATAATGCTCATATTAATCAAGCGATAGTGGTCCTAAATACAGCTAAACTTCATTGTATGAATTTCTGGAGATCAGCAATTTTTCTTAGAACTAAAAATTCCTTTACTATTGAGTGTTTCTATCATTAAGCTATGGAGACTGAGAGGTTTTTCACTAACTAACCACGAAGTTTCATATGTAGGGTTAAGATTTCATATCGAATAAGTGACGCCACCTCCCTCATGATAAAGAAAATGTGGAATTGTACATTTAAATAAATAATTTCGTTTTCGCTTACTAATCAAAACGAATTGATGATTACACGGCCAATAATTTAATCTATTACTGAAATAAACTGAAACAGCTGGTGTATGGTTTAAATATTGTTGTACCATAAACATATGTCCAATAGTTTGATATTTATCGTCACAGCGTAGGCGAAAAATGAGAATGAACATATTTCACCTACTAATCTATTTCGATCAACACTACTTCATAGTTCGCGAACACTATTGTTCCGCTCGTCTATACACTCTCCACATATAGGATTAAGGCTGATGTATTTAAACATCTGTTTTCTTAACAACCGGATAGCACATCCAAAAGCTTCATCTTCAAACGTTTAAAAATAAAAGTGATTGTGAGGTACTCGAAAATTAGTTACCTTCATAATCTAGTAATTATACTTGTATATGGTTGCCACACTAAATTATTAATTTATATTTTGACCAAAATTTAGCAATTTGAAACTGGTTTTCCGGACTGTGTAACCGAACTCATAATTTAAGCTCTCACTTGTCTTTCTGAACAACATAATTTTTTTTATCGTAACTGAATTGAGATGTGATTCTAATGAACGTCACATACTTAATTTCTATAAACGTGGGTACGTGACTTCGTTATTCAAGTAATTTGTTTTTGAGTTGAATAAATATTTTATTAGTGATTGCGTTTCAACATAATAATTTGCAGGCACAGGCTCAAGAATGTGTTGTAGAAAAGTCTATACTGGATAACAGGCCGGCTAATGTGACTGCTAAATTATCTCAGTACATTATGGAGGTTTACGAAAATATTGGTGCCCAGCTGTTAGGGTTTGAGTCTAATGACAAATTGGTCCTCCCAAAATATTCCAAAGTATGTGTTCTTTTTAAGTTATTACCATGCCTTCTTTTTTAAAAGTAAATCTGTAATTGAGAATCTACATATACTTAAATAGACTTGTCCCGACCGTTGTTGCTACCTTGACGTAGTGGTTGGGCTTGTCTATCGTGATGAAGCAACCGAGCTATACTGGCTGCATCAATCATTCCTCAAGGTTCGAAGGCGAAGTCGTACTGCTGACTGTACAGAGGTGTAACGGCAGACAACCAGCTTAACAGTGATGCTGCCTTCCCACAACGAGGGGTGGGGTTAGAAAACGTCGACCTTAAGAATGCACACCTCAACTTATCCCACGGATATCCATCTCCGGCAGTAAGGTCTCAACAAGTACGGAGCTAATACGAAAATTACAGTAAGATCGTGTGTGACCGACCTCAAAAAGTTGTCCCTTGGGCACTGCGATCACGCTCTCAGGTCACTAAGACCACCTCTAATCCAACTTCCTTTTCAATGACCTCCAGGAGAACTCTCTCACGGTATGAGCAACCGGGAAGTGATAACCACCCTCATACCTCTAACAGCATTCAAAACTAACAAAACAGACTTTCTATGTAAAAATAGTGTAGTTTGTTGATACTTTAGTCATCATCTTCAATGCAAATTCGAAGTAGAAAAAAATAGAATGTTCTACAGGTATTCAAAAAATTCCATCCTATCGAGTTGATCCTGTTCGTTTTGGTTTAATCAAACTTACCTCGCTAGATTTTAAAGTATTGGATAGGTTTATTCCAAATAGTACTGTTTATTAGCATAAACAAATGAATTGGGAAGTGTCAACTCCCCGTGCATACCTAACAGTACTGGTACGTTTTTGCGAGATCTGACTATCGTGTTTGTCTCTGTCCGACTCTAGGTATCTTCTTATTTACTTTTGCTGCTATTTCAGGTGCCCTCTTTCGTTAATAATTCGGCTACTGAACACGAGCACATTGAAAGACATAAAGGTAGTTAAATTTTATGAAATGAGTCCACAGCTTTCCCGTCAATTTCTGTCTGATGATCGATAGGAGATTACCAATCAATTAATCACCATTTTAGAAATTAGAAAGCCATTAGGTAACAAACTCAAACCACTGTATTTATCTTAATTTGAACAGTTGGCTTTGTCAATAATATTCACACGAGTATGACTGAAAATTGAGCGCATCAACGTAATTTCAGCTACTGACCTGTATTACCAGCTTTTCGGTACAGTTGGCTTGCACTAATCGATCATTAGGTGGTGACATATCTTCTTTGCTTTTACTGAAGGCCTGATCACAACATGTAGAATTCGACTACTTTTGGGGACTAAACAAACTTAACATTGGTTACCAATAAGTAATTCATGACTAAATGTCCCGGTTCTGCAGGACGTCAGTTGCAAACCGGATAGCTCAGTGTTAATATCTCACTGTGAAAGTAGGTGGTGCGGGTTCGAATCCAATAGCATAAAATGTAGGTCCCGACGTTCTTTTTGATTACTTCCAAACTCCTAATGTATGATTGTTTATTACTGAATTCTATTTATTTGTTGTATAAGTCTTGTGATATCTAGTAACAATATCACATAAAGTTATTTTTGCATAATAAGTAAGATAAAAATCACACTTTATCACATGGTGTTCATAGTTTAGTTAGTGGGCTGTCCATATTGGATTTGGAATCCTTTTTTGAATTATCTATACACTCAGACTTATTTTCTTTTTTTATCTACAGGAATGGCGTCGTCGATGTCAAATAAAAACTAATTTTTATTCATCGTTAACGGCTTATTATGCCGGTATAAATGAAGAAGAAAATAAAGTTTATGGCAAAGCTATAGCATGGTTTCAACTTGCTAATAATCATATGGAAGATTGTAAGACGAATGCGAAAAACTTCAAAGACTCAGATAATTTATCTATGACGGCTTCAGGTGGCACTTATCGTGCCAGTGCCATTTATGCTGGAGAAGTGATCTCTAATAAGTAAGTATGAATTCCATGAATTCAGGATATAATTTTACTACAAATAACTCATTAGTAAACTAAGTAAATGCAGGTAGAAAGAACGGAGAATTCTGCAAGACAACATACCTTATTGCTAGGTCCTGAAGGTGTCCAAAACAACAATAAAAGTTTTGTAATTAAGCAACCTAACTCTCAAAATACATCATCAAAGGCATCTACCTGAATTGACCTTATTCTCCACCCCCTAAAGTACTTTTTACACAAAAATTCATCCTGACTGTTTTATATCTTCAAAGAAACCTCGGAAATATATCCTGTTATATATGCTAAAATATGTAATATTAATGTTCAGTTTCTCATCCACCTTTTTTTGTACGTGTATGTATTTTCTTCACTTTTCTTGGAATTCTTTTTATGATTTTTGTGTCAGAAGTTCCGATTTTACAATTATTTTGGGTAGTCAGATAATTTATCTTCTACAGTACAGGAAATTTTACAAATCCTTATTTGGGGTGGTGTCATGGTGTTTAGAGAATTTTAATTTTTATTAATATATTTCACGTTTGAATCCTTCATCTAACTTGGTTTGTACAACCTTGTGTAGAAGTGAGTGGGAAAGAAACTGACCAAAGCAAAACTCCAGTTCATAAAGTTATTTGTTGTTGCACTGAGCCATATGAGACTGTATGTGAGCTTCCTGGTTTACGTCATCTAGTTAGTCGTAATCTATGACCTTGAAGATGTTGGTAACAGTAGTAGCCTTCACTCAAACGCTTGTCCGAGGTTCTTTAAATCAACCTGTACAGAGTTGTATTGATTAACCTTTATTATGAATGACGTAGTCTTCATCACGGACTACTGAAATTAAGTGGAGAGACCACTATGTTTTCGATACAATGATATCCCTAACAAAACTTTGATACACGAATACAGCAGCTCAGTTCTCTTCTAGCCCAGCTAATACTAATGATAATCTTGTAAAGAAGATTTGTTTGATTGAGACCAAAATGAGATTAATTTACACTCAAGTTTACTCACTTATATACCGATGAAAAAACCGGGTACCATCGGTCAGCTGTTTCGTCCTATATTGGAACTCCTCAATAGTAATTCGTTTACTTGCTTATGTAATTTTTATCTTATTTTCAGGTTAACAAGTTCTACAAAAGATAACGACTTTATATATCATGAGTTAATTCCAAAGATTGAGTCCCTTGAACAGATTAAAGGTATGCAATTTTGTTGATGCTTTCAGAGATTTAATTTGGCGATTGTTATGTTTTCAGTATTTTATTTATTAAATTTTTATTTTTCACCGAGACAACATCTCAGTAGTATAGGCTGTATTGTAAACTGACATGTCTTGATGATTCCAAGCTTGTAACTCCCAGTCGTTTAGTAGCGGCATGTTCTAACCTTGATATCGGTTTAGTTCAATATACATCAACCATGGAGAATGTGGTGCGTTTACTAACCAAGGTCATTGGGAAATGGTCGCTCAGTATCACGAATTGACTGAATAATTGACTTAATAATTTGAAAATTAAGGGCTTATAGCGAAACTTGAAGGTCCTGGGTTCGATTCCAGGTGGAATTTGTAGGTCTGAACGTTTAGACCACCTATTCTCCGACTTCGCAATTATTCCAACAAATCTCCCTGTTTGGACCGAGTAATTACGCATCCTAACTGTATATACTCATGGGATATTATGAAAGACCAACCTATTTTAATACTAGTTATTAAAATCTCAGACTCATCCCAAAAAGAGAGCCGAATGTATTAGAATTCATACATTCGTTATCTGATAGGTAAAAATATATTTGTAGCAACTGGACTTTCGCCGTTGAATACTAGTGAGAGATACTGACTATTAAAAATACGTTTATAAAGTATAGTTTTAACACTTACAACTTTAATGTATTTCTGAGGGGGAATTCATTGCAATAATTTGCAATCGATACTGAGAATTTCTAACTGTAACAAGATCTATAACAATGAATAAAGCTATTATTATTGTTAACTATTGATGGGTCTCATACTAGAACAAAATAACTACCCAAGATTTCCTAGTTTCAGCAATAGTCTAGGATAAGTGCATGATGTAAAGCACAATATGGAGCTATTCGACAGTATATCTAGTTCTTATGACTAATTGATTGCGCAGTATAATTCGATAAACAAGCACATCTTCTTGTCATTGGCTTTGATTTACAGTTTTTTGTTGTTGAATAATTATGGTAACCTGGTGTTCTGATAAAAGAATTTGAAATGGACTTTCGAACTACGCAACTCATCGGTTGGAAGTTGAATGCTTTAAGATAAGTAAATTAAACAACTCTACACTTCAAGTTTTATTTAACAAGTGTAGTCAGTCAGTCAGCTACGTAGGACCAGGCACATATATGCATCGGTTCAAGTTGCCATACCTCATTAGCATAACAAGATGAACACCGAATTCATAGAAGCAGCTAATTCATTGGTAGTAATATACAAAAGAAAGATTGCGTATAAGGACATAATACAGAAAGAAAGAATTAGTTCGTAGAAAGAAGGGTATAAAGCAATTTTAGTCTCACGGTTAATTAATTATTGCTTATTTCCACCTTAGCAGACAAGTTAGGATAATCAAATAACCATCAGGCTATGCTACGTCACACACCTATCGCTAAAGTCCTATTACATGAGGATAGTCAATTAGAGCGTAGTAAATCTGAACTTAGCTACCGTCATGATTTAAAAAGTTGGTTTGGACTGACAGTAAGTACAAAATCTCTAACAGACCTTTCTAAACCAGCAGTGTCAGTCTGTGCTGGTAAGTAAAGACTTTCATATCTAAACTATTGATTCAAATGTCAAGAAGAGTAGGCAGCCCAGATATTCGGGGAGATCACCAATATTTTAGGACTTGTTTACTTCGATGACGTGAAGTGATTGAATGTAAGTGAAAAAATTAATTTTGGACTTAACATTGTAAGGGTTGATGAAGAAGTTATCAAAAATGGTCGTTCGTTCTAATACTCTTTGTTCTTTTAATAAAACTATCTGTCAAACAGTAAGTATACTGCATGCACTATACTGGATGCAAAATATGATCTCTGAAAATATTTACCCACTATCAGGTTGTAAGGTTGAGGTATCGAGGGTACATATATGTAGTATGGTTAGATTGTTGTCAGAAAATAATCATAAATATCATTCTAATCGTGTAGCTCTAGACCATATTCAATCTGTCTTAGATAGTGTTGTTTTCTTGAGAGATAGAGATTAAAGATTCTCTTTCTGGTTTTTGATCGACATCGGACTTTAACTCAGAGCATGTTTCATTTTTTTCTTAACTGATTTTAGGAGTATGTATTGTCAAAGGCGTCCCATTCGACCACAATGATATCGAAGTCCGAGGTCAAGATATTTTCCATCGACTTATACCAATGAATGTGTTAGAGTCAGCTTCCATATATAGGTAAGTGTTCATTTCCTATTCTTACAATTTGACCGAATTTTTTTTTAGTGAAGCTTTGTTTTAAGAATTTAATTAATTAAATATTAATTTTAACACAGGTATTGGTACAAGGAGGCACCGAATACATATGCGCCACACAGATTTCATTTGATATGTGTGAGATCTGTGATACTACCCGGGTACCCAAACCGAAGTAGGTGGTTTTCTTAGGGGGCCACACCCCGAGCCTTCGACCTGAAAATCTGACCCACAAGGCAGTGGAGCATCGTGATGAGATGCAGTCCCATGGTAGCCGGTGACCAAGAAATTGGTTCATACTCCATTTATTCCTTCAGGATACTGGAGCCCATGTGCACCATTGATTTGGGATCCGGTTAAAGCGCCGGACATTCGCTTTTCATCCTCTCATTTTCGTAAACAACAGTAATGCCACGAGAAGGTAGTGAGTAGGACTTTCCTGGCAGAGGCTGTATACGCGTGGCCATGTGAGAGGATTTCGAGAGGGAGAGCGGTCTCTCCCCACTCTCGATCATACCAGGGCATTTGGGGGCTCCTAGAATATTGATATAGTTATCTAGTGTGTATGGATTATTTGATCAACACTTCTTTGCTTTTCTAGTTAAGGGTATGTTTATCATTTTTGGTCGTGCAACAATGTACTATCCTTTATTTCTTTAGATATTACACTATATCAACTTGATCATCAAGATTCTCTAGAACTTACTAAAATCCACATAGTTAAATGAATTTCTGTGGTTCAATTTCAATAATTATTTTACTTTTCAAAGGACATCAATTTATGGTAGAAATAATTTACTAAAATAATTTTATGGTGAACTTGTACAATTTAACTAATCATTTTATGTTAGATTGTGCAGTCTGTTATATCTGGAGCTTATATTCTTGATATGACGCGTATAACTTGAGCACTAGAACGCTAGAACCCTTCCAAGTCGTAATGAGAAGATAGAAGACTAGTGGAAGGAGTGTTATGCCAGACAGTGTCAAATTATAGTACAAAACTGTCAGGTATTTATAGTTTTTAGTAAAAACGAAATCATCATTATAGCTATCCAATCCGCACACAGCGGGTTATTACCATTGTCCAATCGGAAAGCTACACGTAAAGATTCTAGAATATTCTTTTAAAAGATGATTGGATGGAATATCGTCAGCTCTTTCCGAACTTCTTACAGCTTCCTAGAGTTCATCCGTGAACCGTCCTTACACAGTCCAACTTTGTCATTGTGCAGATAGAGTGAAAATACAATAATTCTATGTAGAAAGCTTTCTTGTGAAAAGTCAACTAATGATTTTTATAATTTATGTATATTTATTGGTTCCCAGGTTGACAACAATATCTATAGGCGATAATCGTATTTAAATGAATAATTCATCGTATTCCTATAAAGTTCATCTAATCCTACTGTATGATTTTTGAAACTCACTTATTAATCTATCGGGCTTCACGTAGTATGTCTTTTTTTCTCTTACAAACTGAAATCAATTTAAGAATTATTGTTGCTCCACTACTTTATGGATCAGACCTTTAGGTTGTAGGCTCCTGTTGTGATCCCCTACGAAAATCACCTGCTTCATTTTGGGCACCCGGACAGTATTCCAGACCTTACACAAATCGAATGATTTATGTGGCGCATATCTATTTGATGCCTCCTTGTACCAATGTCTATGTGTTTATATAAATAAATAAATAAATATAATAGTTGCTATTTATACATCTTCAACAATCTATGTACCTAGAACTCTCTTTACATGAGACCGAATCTTTGTTGAACAGTTTTTGTATTATTAGTGCACTAATTCTAAGCATATTTTCCTTTGCTCAATTATACTATGCTTGTTTGTCTGCCATAATACTAGAATTCTCCTATAAGTTATAACTATTATTATTATTATTATTATTATTATTATTATTATTATTATTATTATTATTATCAGTGAAATGAAGGCATCACTTCTGCGTACTTTAACTGGTGAAGTTGATACAAAAGAAGATGAGTTAGAGTAAGTGGAATATTATTATTTATTTATTTATTTAAATGTGTTATTTATTTGATTTTCTACTACCATAGTTACAACAGATTGACTAAAAAAAAGATAGTTCAGTGAAAGTATTACCAAATCTTCCCCTCCCCTAGGTCAGTATATTCTTCTACTACCTACTATACTTCATTAAACTCTCCTCAAATTAAAACAACATTTGAAAGGAGCTAATGTAGTGAAATATACACATCAGAGCCCAAATAATCAAGCGTTTATTAGTTCGCTAAAATTAAAGTATACTGAGTTATATCAATTCTATCTATTCCGTTGTGCATTTGGTTACTAAAAAAGCACTATATATAGTAGTTTAATATGATTTTGTGCGGAAATGTAGAACCAAACTTCTTTGAAAATAGAAAGTTGTAACTTTGAGTAAATTTAAAATGTATACTCTGTTACTCGTTTCGTTCAAGTTAATTGTTCAGAAAGAGTATTTAAAAAAGTACTACGACACAATTGTCATTGCATCAGACTTTAAATCATATCAGATATTGTTTTAAACCATTCAGTCACACAGGATCACTCGGAAGCCATTTACAATAGTTGAAATCTATCAACAGATATGTGTTGAAATCAGTCAGTTACAACGTAGGATCACGTACATACATATATCGGTCCAAGTTGCCACACACTAATACACAGTACCAGTTATTAAATTAATTCCTAGAGTATTAACAAATTTGATACAACAAGAAAGCTGAGAATTTCTCATAAAATTGTATCTGTTCATGTGTGTTTACATCATGCAATTGCAAAAATTATGAATCAGAATAATTATGAAAATATTATGACGATCAAGATTTATTATTTATTATTTTAACACATAGATATTGGTACAAGAAGGCACCAAATACATATGCGCCACACAGATCTCGTTTGATATGTGTGAGGGCTGTGATACTGCCCGGGTGCTCAAACCGAAGCAGGTGGTTTTCTTAGGGGGCCACATCCAGAGCCTTCGACCTGAATGTCTGACCCACAAGGCAGTGGAGTATCGTGATGAGATGCAGTCCCATGGAAGCCGGTGACTAAAGATTGGTTCATACGCCATTTGTTCCTTCAGGATACTGGAGCCCATGTGCACTATTGGTTTGGGATCCGGTTAAAGCGCCGGACATTCGCTTTTCGTCCTCTCATTTTCGTAAACAACAGTAATGCCATGAGAAGGTAGTGAGTAGGACTTTCCTGGCAGAGGCTGTATACGCGTGGCCATGTGAGAGCGTTTGGAGGAGAGCGGACTCTCCCCACTCTCGACCGTACCAGGGCATTTGGGGGCATGACGATCAAGAAGAAAGCTATGAGTTGATCATTTTATCAAAATAGGTATCCATCAATAAAATGTTCATGTTACAAGAAATAACGAATTGTACAAGTTGATCGATCTCTTTCGTCAGAGTAATTATTGATTTGTGTTATCCATAAAGTTTTAGGTTAGAACTGATTTCCAGTCTCATAATGACTCTATTCGTAATGTTTAATAGCGTTCATTTCTTATTTCACATTATCGATCACAAATCAGTACAACTAACTTTTATAAGAACTATGTAGATTAATACCCTGCTTCCTTTGAGAATATCTATATATATACCATAGGCAGCGCTGAACCTGACACATGCATCGATTCAAGTTACCATACTACATTAGCACAACGAGATTAAATTATTCAAAAATATATCCTAGAGTAGCATAATTAGTAAAAAGGATTAGGCATAATAGATTGAAAAAAGGTATAAAGCGACTCCGATACTCAGGTTCTAACGGAAATCGAACAAAAATGAATACATTTAAACCATTTCAGATGATTCTGAGCCATGTCACACAAAGTCACCAACCTTTGACCACGATTATCGAACGGACTTCAATTGAGTAATTTGAGCCTACCAATATGGCTCATTTTGAATATTAATAACTTTATGGCTTGATGTCATGTTTTGGTTTAACTGCCCGTAGCTTTCTTCCAGACAACATCGCTCGTCGAGGTAGATGGTAATTTTGCATACATAACACTTGCGTAGTTAAAATATTTCTTTTCAGTTAGTGAGTAGAAAGTCAATGCCGAGTAGATGGTAGTGAGTCAGTTTAACAAAATAGTAATCATCTAGTTGCATAACGTTTGGAAAATTATGATAAAAACTAAGGTAAATTTTCATAATCAATTAATTATTACAAATAGTGACATAGTTAAAATTAGATGTAGATATCAATGTTGTTTGTATATGTGAACGGGATTAGTGAAAATTAGATATGATTAATCAACAGGTTACGTAAGGTTAGAATTAGAAATTAAAATGCTAATGAAATCAAAGTTCGGAAAATGTTTTTAAGAGAAGGGAAAGAAAGGTTTTGAAGCATGTAATGGTATCTAATTGGAAGATTAGGGTAGATTCAAAGATTGTATAAACTTTTTCTATATACGAAGGTTAAGTTTCTGATGTGTATTTCTATGGCTTTTGTTATGCGTAAGAGTTAGATTCTGGAACCATAGGGTAAAATCGGTGAGATTGTATGAATAATTTCAAACGCTATACGATGACCAGTATCGACTAGATGCACCAATATAAAGCTTTTTGTTATTTACTTTTGTCCTTTGATCCAGTATGAAACATGATGTTCAGAGAAACGATGATGCATTTATTTAGCTGTGCGCCTAATATAACTAGCTCCGCAAGAGCAATTAAAATTGTAAATACAGAGGAACTAGGTTTAGATGGTGGTTGGAGGTGGTCGACACCATCTAAACCTTACAATAGTGCCCAGCGGTGTCGAGTCACCTAGACTGGTGGCCACATTGCAACATGATCGATAGCATTCGATCTGCACTAATAATAAGGACTAGACACGCATGACATTGGTCACCCAGTGATCAATCAATTGTGACAGAGGAACTAGGTAATTCCTCCTTATTTTGTGAAATCGCCATTGTCCGACTGAACAAAGTAGGACATAATCTTGCCGTATTGAACGCACGTTCTAAGGCTCTTTGTATATAGGTGTAATTGTTGAAGATTAGTTACGTCATCGCCATTATTTTCTCAGATCATATGCCTAACCTGGGCATATATATGTATATATACTTATCACTTAAATAAAAACCATATTTTTTCGGTGTCGTTATGGCTAAATCTCAATAAAAGTGTTTGCTAGTACTTCCATTTTCGTCTCCGTGTGATATTTACTTGAAGTAGAAATGCAAAGCAGTAAAAAAAGCAGAATACTCCTGTACTTTGACTAACTTTTTTGTTTGTTATACTTTGTTTCTCAGTAAATTTTTATCTACGCTGTATTTGGATTCAACAAAAATGTTAGCACCAGATCCACCTTTCCCTCAATCACTTTACAATCTATTCGCTCGTATGGATGCTGTAGATAGAGATCCTAATGGTGAATTGTCGAAACAATTAAAAAGTTAGTTTTTCTAGAAAATCAACTTATATATATATATATATATATATATATATATATGTATAGTCAGAAGTATGAGGACAGTTATCACTTCCCGGTTTCCTACATCGTGGAAGGATACTCTTCCTTGAAGGTCTATAGAAGAAAGTGATTTGGGTGACCTACGATCATAACCTCAATGCCATGGTGACAACCGTTTTGAAACCTTTTCGCGTATAGTTTTTAGTGTATTAGCTCCATACTTCGAAAGCTCTTACCTCCGACAAAAGAAATCTCTCGGTCAATTTGATGTACGCTATTTCTAGTACTAATGTTTTGTAACCCCCCTTTTCGGTTGTGAGAAGGCAGCATCTCTGTATATGCTGATTATCTTTGAAAAACACTTTACTGCTGTTACACCTTTGTGAAGTTGGCTGTACGACTTCATTCTCAAACCCTGAGTTTACTACTTCTAGTTTTTCTGCCCTCTAACCAACCCGCCAGGTGTGGTAGGACGTGAAACAGCGAATGTTCCAAACAGTGTAGTTGCATTGGGTCATCACGATAGGCAACCTCGATCACTATGTCTAGGTTCCATCTATAGTCATACTTATATTTTAATATCTCTTTACAAACCAGTGGTTAACACATTTGACTTTTAACTACCTGTCTGAAGCGTCCAAATCCTCTTCTACTTCAGTTTATATAGATGTGTGAAAGTGGTGTCGTTAGTCCTCACACAAATTAGTGATGCTCAAAGTAAAATGTTATATAAATGCATACTTAGTAAATGATGTGAAATGTCCATTGTATTAAGTACTAGTTCAAGTAGGTTTCACACATTTATCTAATGTTATTACTTCTCTGTAACTTACATCCTACAAATGATACCTTTCAAATTACTTAGTCATTAATAGAATAACTCAAATTATACTATCTTTTCAAACCTAACTAATACGCTAACTCAACTAGTAAGTTTGCTTAGCTAACTAAATAAACGACCAATCGCATTGCGATCAGACGCGCTCATCATCTTGAATTAGTAAAATGTTGGTAGCCTATTTCTGATTAACTAATACGTCATGGGAGTTGTAGTAATCTTATGAGCTTGTTGAATAAATACACGAACTAACTCTGAAAAGTCAACAATGGTTCTTCGTGAGTTTTTAGCTCCGAATTCATTCACCGTAACAAATCATCTTTTTTACGAATGTCTTCTACATCTAAAATTCACGTTTTACAGCCATAAAATAAAACAGAACGAACTGCTCCAAAGTAACTTCTACCTCGTTTGGTTTGGTGTTCAACATTATAAAATATCAAAAAATATTGATTTTAAGATTCTCTTTTTTCACTGATTTCATCTGAATTTTGAGAAAATAATCGGTTTTAGACAAACTACATCCTGGTCACACTGATTTCCATACTATTGGTTCAGATTTGTAAAAAACGTTTTTATTTGTCTACAGTTGTCATCCTCTTGCTAAATGTAATCAGAATACATAACTTCATTTCATTTTATTTGTGTATGGGCCGTGATACTGCCCGGGTGCCCAGACCGAAGCAGGTGGTTTTCTCAGGGGGACACACCCGGAGCCTTTGACCTAAAGGTCTGACCCACAAGGCAGTGGAGCATTGTGAGGAAATGTTCAGTCCCGTGGTAGCCGGTGACCAACGATTGGTTCATACGCTATTTGTTCCCTCAGGATACTGGAGCCCATGTACACCATTGGTTTGAAATCAGGTTTTCCAACTCCCCTAGGTGGATCGTCTGTATCGACCAACCCGATTAAAGCTCTGGATATTCGCTTTTCCTCCTCTCAATTTTGTAAACAACACCCCCACCTCGAGAAGGCAGTGAACAGGACTTCCCTGGAAGAGGCTGTATACGCGTGGCGTTGTGAGAGCATTTCAAGAGGGAGGGCGTGCCCACCTCAATCTTGGTTATACCAAGGCATTTGGGAGCAGAACATATAACAAAGTATAAGAATATTTTATCTATGGACATTTGAATGCATAAATACGAATATCATCAATTTTATGATTATATTGAATTCATATATTTGGATTTTTTTTGTACAGGCTTGGTAAACCTGAGTGATGATGGCGATAGTGAATTTGAAAATCTATCTATTAAAATGAAAGATATGGAAGAATTTTTCAATATACTAGTCGTAAGTTTTTTGCCTTCTGTTAGATAAATATAAAATGGGGATATAATGTATGCTTATGCTAGTTTATTCACTGTGAATTTTGTATGGGTAATTATGCGTCTCGAAAGATGATGTCTGGTGTAGGAGTAGGCTAGAAGGAAGTTATGGGCGGTCAAACTAGAACATGAAATCAAGCCATAAAGTTATTAATATTCAAAATGAGCTATATTGGCAGGCTCAGACTACTCTATTTGGGGTCCGTTCGATAATCGTGGTCAGAGGTCGATGACTTTGTGTGACATGGCTCAGAATCATCTGAAATGGTTTAAATGTATTCATTTTTGTTCGATTTCCGTTAGAACCTGAGTATCCAAGTCCCCTTATACCTTTTTTCAATCTATTATGCCTAATCCTTTTTACTAATTTTGCTACTATAGGATATATTTTTGAATAATTTAATCTCGTTGTGCTGAGGTGGTTTGACAGTATGTTTAATGAGCTAAGATCTGACACCAGTATATAAAGTTTGTTAGTAGATACATATTATCTAGCTAAGTATCATACGATTATTGGTTCCAGTTGTTGGAATTGTATTTAAATAGCTTAGTGTTTATTACAATATCATAGTTATTTTCAATCCTTGTTTCTCATTAGATCCTCAATTTTAATACTGTTTTCTATTTTTGATTCTGTGAATTAATTCATCCTTCTCAAATCATATTATTTATATTTAAGTTTTTCTACTAACTCGGACAATGTTACTCCTATTGCTTTAGTTTGGCCACTTGGGCAGTATCCCAGCCCTCACACAAATCGAATGATTTGTGTGGTGCATATCCATTTGGTGTATCCTTGTTCCAATGTTTATGTGTGTAAAGAATAATAACACTGCTACTACCGTTTACTCTTCTGACAATTATCTTGATTATTTCATCTCATCGTGTTGATAAAATGCGGTGTCGATTATCAGGTTCTCTCTCTCTTTGTGTGTGTGTGTGTGTGACTTATGGTTTACCGACCAATCAAATTGAATTTGATGACTGTTGTCCTTCGTTTTCTTTGTTTAGTTTTGTTATTACTGTAACCAACTATTTAGGTTATCTCATTATTATTATTATTATTATTATTATTATTATTATTATTATTGGTATTAGTATTAGTATTGGTTTTAGTATTGGTATTAGTATTGGCATTGTGGTGCGTGCTACTTATATTGACATAAGTAGTGCACAACCCGAGTCAGGAATATAATGTCTGACAGCAGAAGATTGGGAAGATCAAGAAAAGAAGAACGGAAATAGAAAGCAGTTGGTATGTGAAAATGCATGAACAATGAAGTCCGAGACAATTAATGAACATTTTGCAACATAAGTATTGTAATAAGGTTTTTATATTTTACCAAGTAACTCGGTGATTTTGTGCTGAATATATAATTCAGTTGTTCTCACCTGTGTTCTCCTTCACTACAGTATTAGTATTTGTATTAGTATTACTACTGCTATTACTATTGTCATTATTATTATTATTATTATTATTATTATTATTATTATTATTTTGTCAGACAACTAAAGGAAGTGAGAAAACAAAAAATTTCAGTATCATTGTTAAAAATTTTAAAGAACGATTTAAAAATCTTTCGGTTGCTAATCAACAAGCGAAACAATCTAATAATCAATTAAAAGAATTAATCACTAATCAATTACAATCATTTGATAATATATTAAAAATATCATTAGAAGAATTTATAAAGAAATTACCATCTGTAAATCATCTAATTAATGGTAAGTAATAATAGTTTATTATTATGGATAATTTTTTTTTATTTTGATTATTTCAATATCATTCTTTTACTATGATCTTATCTTGTCTATAATTGTTTTTAGAGCATATTGACTTACTTACCTATTTATTTACTTTCTCCTGTTACTCTCAATGGAGCATAGGCCGCCGATCAGTATTCTCCAACCCACTTTGTCCTGGGCATTCTTTTCTAGTTCCGTCCAATTCTTGTTCATTTTTCTCATGTCTATCTCCATTTCCTGGCAAAATGTGTCCTTTGGTCTTCCTCTCCTCCTTCGACCTTGAGGATTCCATATGAGGGCTTGTCTTGTGACGGAGTTGGGTGTTTTCCTCAATGTGTGTCCTATCCACTTCCAGCGCTTCTTCCTGATTTCTTCCTCCACTGGGATCTGATTTGTTCTCTCCCACAGTAGGTTGTTGCTAATTGTGTCCGGCCAGCGGATCTGAAGTATTTTGCGTAGACAACTGTTAATGAACACCTGTATCTTTTGGATGATGGATTTCGTAGTTTTCCAGGTTTCCGCCCCATACAGTAGAACTGACTGTGCTGACATTTGTATTGAAAATTCTGACTTTGGTGTTGGTTGCCAATTGTTTTGAGTTCCAGATATTCTTCAGTTGTAAATATGCTGCTCTTGCTTTTCCGACCCACCATTTCACATCTGTATCAGATCCACCGTGTTCATCAATGATGCTGCACAAATATGTAAAGGTTTTTACATCTTCCAAAGCTTCTCCGTCAATTGTGATTGGATTGTTGCATGCTGAGTTGTATCGGAGAATGTTGCTTTCCCCTTTGTGTATATTGAGACCTACTGCTACTGAGGTTGCTGCTACACTGGTTGTCTTCTCCTGCATTTGTTGTTTTGTGTGAGATAGAAGAGCCAGATCATTTGCGAAGTCTAGATCATCCAATTGCATCCTAGCTGTCCACTGTATCCCGTGCTTCCTTTCAGATGTTGACGTCTTCATAATCCAGTAAACATAAACATTGGATCGCAGTTATACCATCAGACGAGTTAAAAATAGAACGAAATGCACGTACTAAATTCGATTGTTGATCACTATTAAATTTTCTTCAAAATATGCAATTATTATTGTTGAAAGTTAATTGTTCCAAACCCTAAATCAAATAATGCTAATCTAATGTATGATTAAAGTACTCAGATTTCAATGTGTTGGTCCCAAGTTCAAACTAGTATCATTGTTTATCATACAAACTATGTCTCAAAGCTGAGTACTTAAACGTGTGCTTGATATTCGAGTTATATTGATTAAGTTAAACAAAACATTCACTGTTTATAATGGGAGTAGGTTGGAAGAAAGCTAGGGGCGGCCAGACCAAAACCTGGCACAAATCCATGAAGTCACTGACAAGTGGACTGAACCATGTTGGCAGGTATAGACTACCTAGTTGGGGTCCGCGAGACGATAGCAACCGATGGTTAGAGATCTTGAATGGCATGGCTCAAAATCATTTGCAATGGCGCAGGTGAATCCACTCTCTGTGTTTTCTCAAACTCTAATCTTCTGAATTCTTCATGTCCTTTATTTTCTTTCCAGATCTATTCCACTGGATTATACTCCTTGACTAACATCATCAAACCCTAATGTTCCCTATTACTACTTATACTTTCACTACCTCTACCACTATGGGATTTGAATCGATAACTGAATCTCTGTGTTAATGTGGTATGGCAACTCGAACTGATGTACGTACGTGCGAAGTTTCACGTTGTTACTGACTGACTGACTTATAATGGGAAATATTCATTCTAATATCAAGTTTTTATAGTTAGATAAAGATATTAAAGTAGTTTCACCTATTTTCTTGAGTAATTTCTTAGAATTAATAGCGCTTGTAAAAGAATTAATCCTTAATTGATAGATCGTTCAGACTAAATGATTGATCTATCTAATCTAGTTGAAACAACTATCAGTCATAATAATAGTAACATAAATAATTTTCGAAATTATTTGAGTAGTGAAGAACAATTAATTCATTTCTAAAGATGATTCACCGGGTAATTTCAATATGATTTACAATTCAACCATACAACCATAACTAACCACAAGTGTATTATTGTAATTAATTATAAACAAAAGATAATCTGAAGGGGTTTTATGGAGATTTTAGAGATTTCAACAGTTGACATCATGAGTCAATTGAAGCTTACTTACTTACTTACTTACTTACGCCTGTTACTCCCAATGGAGCATAGGCCGCCGACCAGCATTCTCCAACCCACTCTGTCCTGGGCCTTCTTTTCTAGTTCCATCCAATTCTTGTTCATTTTTCTCATATCTATCTCCATTTCCCGGCGTAATGTATTCTTTGGTCTTCCTCTCCTCCTTCGACCTTGAGGATTCCATATGAGGGCTTGTCTTGTGACGGAGTTGGGTGTTTTCCTCAATGTGTGTCCTATCCACTTCCAGCGCTTCTTCCTGATTTCTTCCTCCACTGGGATCTGATTTGTTCTCTCCCACAGTAGGTTGTTGCTAATTGTGTCCGGCCAGCGGATCTGAAGTATTTTGCGTAGACAACTGTTAATGAACACCTGTATCTTTTGGATGGTGGATTTCGTAGTTTTCCAGGTTTCCGCCCCATACAGTAGAACTGACTGTGCTGACATTTGTATTGAAAATTCTGACTTTGGTGTTGGTTGCTAATTGTTTTGAGTTCCAGATATTCTTCAGTTGTAAATATGCTGCTCTTGCTTTGCCAATCCGTGCCTTCACATCTGCCTCAGATCCACCGTGTTCATCGATGATACTGCCCAAATATGTAAAGGTTTTTACATCTTCCAAAGCTTCTCCGTCAATTGTGATTGGATTGGTACATGCTGAGTTGTATCGGAGAATGTTGCTTTTCCCTTTGTGTATATTGAGACCTATTGCTGCTGAGGCTGCAGCTACACTGGTTGTCTTCTCCTGCATTTGTTGTTGTGTATGCGATAGAAGAGCCAGATCATTTGCGAAGTCTAGATCATCCAATTGCATCCTAGATATCCACTGTATCCCGTGCTTCCCTTCAGATGTTGACGTCTTCATAATCCAGTCGATCACCAGGAGAAAGAGAAAGGTTGAGAGTAAGCAACCTTGCCTGACACCGGTCTCTATTTCGAAGAAGTTTGTCAACTGTCCTCCATGCACGATTTTGCAGTTTAATCCATCATAGGAATTCCGTATAATATTGACTATCTTCTGAGGCACGCCGTAGTGTCGAAGAAGCTTCCATAGTGTTGTTCTGTCCACGCTATCAAATGCTTTTTCGTAGTCGATGAAGTTGATATAGAGTGATGAATTCCATTCAATTGATTGTTCCACAATGATCCATAGAGTTGCGATTTGGTCTGTGCACGATCTATCCTTACGGAATCCTGCCTGTTGGTCTCGAAGTTGGGCGTCTACGGAGTCCTTCATCCTGTTTAACAATACCCTGTTGAAGACTTTTCCTGGTATTGGAAGAAGAGTGATTCCCCTGTAGTTGTCACAGTTGCTGAGATCGCCTTTCTTTGGTATTTTGACTAGAAGTCCTTCTTTCCAGTCTTTTGGTACCTGTTCCTCATCCCAGATCTTTCTGAAGAGAATGTGGAGTATCCTTGCAGTTGCCGCTACGTCTGCTTTCAGTGCCTCTGCTGGAATGCTGTCTAGTCCTGCTGCTTTGCCACTCTTGATTTGTCTGATAGCCATGCTGATCTCTTCAATTGTTGGTGCGCCAACATCGATTAGGAGGTCCGTGAGTGCTGCTTCGATGTTGGGTGGGTTCAGTGGGGCTGGTCGATTCAAGAGTTCTTTGAAGTGTTCTACCCATCTGTTTCGTTGTTCTTCAATGTTGGAGATTATCTTGCCTTCCTTGTTTTTCACTGGTCGTTCTGGTTTACGGTGATTTCCCGAGAGTTTCTTTGTTGTTTCATACAGTTGTCTCATGTTTCGTTCTCTGGCAGCCTTTTCCGCCGTCAATTGAAGCTAGACCACCATAAAAAAATCTAAAATCTCCACAAAACCCCTTCTGATAATGATGATCTACTCACTAGTGACTGAGTTCAAGATGCATTTCCTGAAGTTCTAGTGAAAAGCCGTTACCAGTGGAGTCCAACCAGATCTGTTGTGAGGTATCAGCTCACTGAACGGTGGGGCAATTTCGTAAATTGGTTGAAGTTAGACATTAACACTGTCTGTTGGATGCCGGCTGACTCAATGTTCTAATGGTCTAATGGAGCCTTTGACCTAAAGGTCTGATCCAAAAGGCAGTTGGAGCAACGTCAGGAGATGAAGTCCCATGTTAGCTGGTGACCAATAATCGGTTCATACGCCATTTGTTCCTTTAGGACCCTGGAGTCCATGTACACCATTGGTTTGGACTTAGGGTTTTCCAACTCCCCTAGGTATACTCTGCGTGTCCACCATCATTGAGAATATTCATGAATTAAAATGGTATCACATTGTTTTGAACACGAATTTGTCTAAAATATTCAATCATTTTATTTCATACAATCTTACAAATAGTCATTCATTGCCAGTCACCATAGTGATAATAACAGAAGTAATAATGATAATCTATTTTGAATTCATCACTAGATCTCGTGAAATTGAAGACTGCTTTTTTACTCTGGTTTTATCAAACAGTTCACTACAGATTAAATTTCATTAAGTAGTATTCAACTCACCAACAAATAAATCTCATTATTCTAGTTTTATATTATGAACTAGACTTGGTTAGATAACTATCGTGGTTTATCGTTACTCTACTATAACTGGTAATGTGGTGTTCGAATCTAAGATCATTTGGTTAAATAATCCTTCAGGATCGTGGAGCCCATGTAAGCCATTGGTTTGGAATTAGGGTTCTCCAACTCCTCCAGATGAACTCTCTATGTCCACCAACCGGGTTAAAGCGCCATACATTCGCTTTTCGTCGTCTCCATTTGGTAAACAACACCCCCGCCACGAGAAGACAATGAGTAGAACTTTCCTGTCAGTGGTTTTATGCACATGGCGATATGAGAGCATTTCGAGATTGAGAATTGACTCTCCCTACTCTCAGCTTTCCGAAAGCATTTGGGGGCAATTTTGTATTAGAATAACGGCGGTAATTTATCATAAATATTTGACTTGCCAGTTTAAACTAATAAATATGTTTCCGTTTTATTTCATCAACAATCGCGATTGACAATTGTTTGACAAAACATTTCAATCAATGACCTGTTAAATCAGGACTTAATGATTTCAGAAAATTTTTGTTGCGATTTATTCTCTGTAGGTTTCAAATAAATGGTATGAATTATTTTTTCTGGTTAGCGTTCTCTAACGAGTTAGTTTTCCACGGGATCGGGTCTCTAACCATATACCTGATCCTCCTCCTTTATCCTGGCTTGGGACCGGTAGTAGCCCCAGAGGGTCTGCAGGCGGAGATAAAAGTTTTCTACGCGAAATACTCTGGATCCACTATCAACAGCAACTTACTGTGGGAGAGAACAAAGAAGATTCCAGCGGACGAAGAAATCAGGAAGAAGTGGTGTAAGTGGATAGGATACACATTGAAGGAAGTACCTAACTGAGTCACAAGGCAAGCCCTCACTTGGAATCCTCAAGACCATAGGAGAAGAGGAACACCAAAGAACATATTACTTCGAGAAATGAAGGCAGAAATGAAAGGAATGAACAACAATTGGATAGAACTAGAAAAGGAAGGCCTAGGACAGAGTAGATTGGAGAATGCTGGTCAGGGTGGCTTATGCTCCATTTAGAATAACAGGCCTAAGTAGGAAAAGTAAAAGTAAAAGGATTTTTGTTATAACGTGTGATCCGCTTATTAGAGAGCAGTCTATTATCGATCGAAACAGTGACGCATAAAACACGAGCGAGCAGCCTAGAATCCTGATTGGTCCTGCTTCCCTATCCAGCCCAGCCAATTGAGTCCAGAACACAAGTCTTAGCCTCGGAGATATGAATCATTATATTTCAAACATACTCTGTTTATATACCAAACAAACAGACTACATCATACCATAAAATAGAAAGTAACATTTGTACAAGATTTAACCTTCAGGAAAATGACACAAATAAATATTGACCAATAGGGAAATAACACGTTGGAAGAATATTGACCAAATGGGGGAAATGACACTATTTGTCATTCAGGAATAGTATTCGATAATTTCTAGGGTATTTTCTGAATACCTCAACAGTTTTAAATAAGATTTAATAAACTGATGTTCTTATAATTGAAAAATTTTTTGTTCACAATGATATAGAAATAAAATAATAACATTAAAATTAAAACACGAAGTTCAGCGAAGGGATCTCTTTTCAACGAATTTATTATCAAGCTGTACAATCGTATATATATATATAAAATTTTTTGTAAAAGTACTAATTCCGTGAGGAAATGTGAACACAGTTAACCATGACATAATAAAAAGGGGGTTATAATACTAGATTACGTAATATGAATAATAACAATAGATTTAGTGAATATAGTATTATAACCCCCATTTTATTATGTCATGGTTAACTGTGTTCACATTTCCTCACGGAATTAGTACTTTTACAAAAATTTTATATATATATATATATATATATATATATATATATATATATATATATATATATATATATATATACGATTGTACAGCTTGATAATAAATTCGTTGAAAAGAGAATCCCTTCGCTGAACTTCGTGTTTTAATGGGAATTATCTGTCAAAATAATAACATACTATTCATTTTGACAGATTCAACACTGAATAAGATCTCAAATGAATCTCAAAGATTATTTAATAAAGTTTATGAAATGCGTCAACAACGTGTTGAATTAATTCATAAATTAAGAACTAATTTACATATTGATGATGTTAATAGTGATCTACTTATTATTTCTGATCATGATAAACATAATATAAATAATTGGTTTGATAATCGTTTAAAAGCAAAACATTATGATCTTGTTAATATTATTAAACAAAATTTAAAAGCACAAGATAATATTCAATCAGCTTTAATTGATTTAAATGCTGAATTTGCACCAAAATGGACTGAATTATCAGAAATTCGAATCAAGTAAGTTTTCCATCATGTATAATTGTTTGCATGAAATAATTGTTATTATAAAAATTCCATTTTTGTTATTATTTTCATTACTTATTTATGTTGTTAACTTGATGTATTAGTCAGTCTTGAGTATTGTTAGAGATATAAGAGTGGTGATCATTTTCCGGTTGTACCTATACTGTGGAAGAGTTCTTCTTGGAGGTACTTGAAAAAGAAATTGGATTAGAGATGGTTTTAGTGACTTGAGAGCGTGATCGCAGTGCCTAAGGGACAACTATTTGAGGTCGATCACACATGACCTTTTTATGAGTAATTTTCGTGTTAGCTCTGTACTTGTTGAGACCTTACCGCTGCAGATGGATATTCGTGGGATAAGGTGAGGTGTGTATTTTTAGGGTCGACCTTTTCTAACAGCATCGCTGTTATGTTGGTTATCTGAAGGAAACATCTTAGTGCTGTTACACCTCTGTACAATCAGCAGTACGACTTCGCCTACGGACCTTGTGTTTGTTACTTTTAGTCTTACCATTCTTCAACCAACTTATCTGGCATGGTAGGTCCTTGAGGAATGATTGATGCAGCCAGTATAGCTTGGTTGCTTAATCACGATAGGCAAGCCCAACCACCACGTCAGAGTAGCAACAACGATCGGGAGCTTGATGTATACTGTAAGTTGTAAATTTTTGCCTGGTCGTAGTAATGAATTAGTTTATTTTAAAAAAATCTTAATCAAACTCGAATAACTCGGAAATACAAATTGAATGAAAAAGCATTTTTTTCAATTACATATAAGCTTTGCAATTAATTGTCAAATAATGACAAATGAGTGATAATAAGTCATTTTAATAATATTTTGTGGTCAGTTAGTAGCGATGCCCCCAAATACTCTGGTCGAGAGTAGAGAATAAGCTCTCCCTCTTGAAATACTCTCAAGTGGTCACGTGCATACAACCACTGACAGGAAAGTCCTACTCACTGCCTTCTCGAGGTGGGAGGACAGAAAGCGAATGTCCGTCACTTTAACCAGGTTGGTGGATACAGACGATCCACGTAGGGGAATAAGAAAACCCTGATTCCAAACCAATAGTACACATGGGCTCCAGGATCCTAAAGGAATAAGTGACGTATGAACCAATTATTGACCCACCAGCTACCATGCGACCTCTCCACTGCCTTGTGGACCAGACCCTTAGGTGAGTGGCTCCGGTTGTAGCCTCCTAAGAAAACCACCTACTTCGGTCTGGGCACCCGGGCACTACCATAGCCCTCACACAAATCGAATGATTAATGTGTCGCATATGTATTCGGTGCCTCCTTGTGTAGTGAACAGAACACAGGTGGGGACAATCGAATGTGTTTAACAACAAATTACAGAACTAGTTAGTAAAATCCAACAACCATATATTAACTGCTCAATTTGCAAATTGTTCATCAATTGTCTTAAATGACTCAGAATCCCTTTGTTCTTGCATTTTCATACAAATTGCATTCTTTATTGTTCGATCTTCTCGTCTCTCTGCTGCCAGACATTCTGTACAGTACTCACGTCATATACTACTTATGTCTACATAAGTAGCACACACCACACTTGTACCAATTGTTGTGTTTAAATAATAATAATAATAATAATAATAATAATAATAATAATAGTAGCACAACGTTTGGAAACTCGTATTCGAAAAAAAGATGAAATTTCATAATCGGTTAATTACCACAACTGGTTATGTTAGCGATGTTAGCGATGTTTTCTGGTGTAGGAATTGCTAAGCTAAGTGCAACTGAACCAAAACATGGCATCAGTTCATGAAGTCACTGACAATTAGACTTAGCCATGTCGATAGATATAGACTACCTGGTTGTGGTCCGCGTAATTATCGTAACCAATAGCTAGAGACTTTGAATGACATGGATCAAAATTGTTTTCAATGGTTTAAGTGCATCCATTCTTTGTCTTCCACCAAATTTCTCATAACTTTGTTTGTTTTTGTTTCAGTTATTCCTCAATTTTTATTCATTCAAACACAAACATTGGTACGAAGAGTCACTAAATATATATGCGCCACACTTCGTCATTCGATTTGTTTAAGGGCCGAAATACTGCCCAAGAGCCCAAATCGAAGCAAGTGGTTTTCTTAGGAAGCCGCCTCCCGATCCTTTGACCTAGAGGTCTGTATACGCTGTATACGCGTGGTCATGTGAGAGCATTTCACGAAGAAGTGCTGACTCTGCCTATCCTCGGCCGTACAAAGGCACTTTGGGACACAAACTTACGTTTTCTTTTTGAGTCGTATCTTTGATACTTAATTTTCCCTATCGCAACTGATACTGTTACTACGTTTACTATTCTAGGATTTGGCCTGACAATTTCATCTGTTTGTGCCAATGTAGTATAAGAACGTATACCAATGTACATACTTGCAGGTTTTACGTTAAGAGGCTATAAAATGATCCTTTGCGCATATGGGTCGCTCAATTTCGTGGATTACTTGAAGTTAAACACTAACACCGTTGGATACCGGCCGGCTCAATGGTCTAATGGTTAATCGCTCACGCGCGAGGCTGATAGGTCCTGTGTTCGAATCTCGCGGGGGGTGGAATCAAGGATGAGCACTACTGAGGAGTCCCACAATAGACGAAACGGCCATCCAGTGCTTCCAAGCTTTCCATGGTGGTCTAGCTTGAATTGGCTCATGATCTCAACTATTGAAATTAATTTTATTTACTGAAATAATAGTCTATGATAAGATAAAATGGTACTGAATATTTAGAAAACTTGAAATGGTATCTTATCATCAATTGGAAATCAGTTATCGAAAAGAAGTTATGTAATAATAGGCTAGTGAAAAAGTGGTAAGGTGAATTGTTTATCTACTTGATAGCTATGAAGAACAGAATAATTAAAAGTTTTGATAGTAACTAATTAATAATTGTAAAAATAATTGAAAATAAATAGATTATTGAACATAGAAAAAGAGGTTTAGATCATAGAAGAATAAGGGACTGAATATACTGGTTTTATACTCAAATGTTAAACTTGAAATAGTGGATAATTCTAGTCTTTACTGTAAAAAGACTTTGTTATTTCCATTCCTATTGAACTAACTCTTCTTACTGTATGTATGATTTTCAATGAGGCTTCTGTTGACCATATAAAAGTTTCTCTATAATCCATAGTTGTACTACCTAAGAGATCATTTGTTCACACAAAACCTATACATTTATCTCATTAAAAATCAGTGATTAATTGTAAAATTTGATACATAAAAAATATAACAATTTTAAAAGACACTATTTTTTACAGTCTTGAATTGATATCTTAGTAACACATTTGTTACAATGCAAAGTAGTGCATAGAGGACAGCTGACAGATGCATTTCAAGTAAGGACTGGAGTCAGACAAGGCTGTCTACTCTCGCCCTTCCTCATTCTTCTGATGGTCGACTGGATTATGAAGACCTCGACATCTGAAGGAAAACATGACATGAAATGGACAGCTCAGAACCAATTAGGCGATTCGGACTTCACATATGACCTAGCCTTAATATCACATACACACGAACAAATGCAGATAAAGACAGCCAGCGTAGCAGCAGTCTCTGCATCAGTAGGCCTCAACATACACAAAGGGAAAACCAAGGTCCTCAAATACAACACGGAGAATACCAATCTAGTCACTCTTGATGGCGAAACTCTGGAAGATGTGGATTCCTTCACATACCTGAGAAGCATCACCGATAAACAAGGAGGTTCAGATGCAGATGTAAAAGCGCGGATTGACAAAGCAAGGGCCGCATTCCTTCAATTAAAGAACATGTGGAACTCAAAACAACTTTCAACCAATATCAAAATCAGAATCTTCAATAAGAACATCAAGACAGTCCTACTGTATGGAACTGATATTTGGAGAACTACAACTACCATCAAGAAGGTACAAGTATTTATCAATAGCTGTCTACACAAGATACTCAACATCCATTGACCGGATACCATCAGCAACAGCCTTTTGTGGGAGAGAACCGACCAGCTTCCAGCAGAAGAGGAAATTAGGAAAAGACGATGGAGTTGATGGATAGGAAATACATTACGCAAATCATCAAACTGCACCACAAGACAAGCGCTAACTTGGAATCCTGAAGGGAAGTGGAAAAGAGGAATGCCAAAGAACACATTACGTCAGGAAATAAAATCAGATATGAAAAGGACGATTAACAACTGGATGGAGCTGGAAACGATTGCCCATGACAGGGTTGGTTGAAGAATGCTGGTGGTCGGCCTATGTTCCTTCACGAGGAGTAACAGGCGTAAGTAAGTAAGTAACACAATTGTAAGTTGCTCAATTTTGAACATTTCATATAGATTTCTGAATAATGCATAACATTCAAACATTCTACGTTCTTATCAGTTCTTTGAATCATATCCGTTCTTAACAAAACGTTTTCTTCACAAATTCTTCCCAAAACTGCCCCCCTTCTATTAGTTTGTACAGGTTCTATTTCGGTGTATTGTTGTAGTAGCATTTAAGGAGAAATTTTTCTCAATGTTTAATAATGCATGATTGCTATCCGTTATTGTAAGCAGGGAAACTTCCAGTATGCATACATAATGTAAAGCTGTCTGTTTAAGAAATCCTTCATAATCGTCATACCAGTTCTCTTCAAAATATAAGTTAAAAGAATTTTTCATAAAATAGTCTGATTACTAATGTATATCGTTTTTTTTTTATTTGATTTTCATTTGTTATCGTTAGACGTTCTGAACAAATCGATAATATATTAGCTGCTGGTGAAGCTTTTGATGGTATTCTGTCTAAATCAAAACAAGGCATTGACTTTTACAATACATTAATCAATCAATTGAAAGATCTTGATAAAGAAGTTGATCAATTTATTGAAGATCTTAATAAACAGTTACGTTTATCAATGGATGAATTGTCAAAACCTATATCTAGTAAGCCATGTTAAATTTCCTCTTTTTTTGTAGATGTTCTTGATAGATGTAAAGTAGTCGAACGCGTTGACAACTTCACTTATCTTGGAAGTCTGATCAGCCCTAATGGGTTGGTGTCTGACAAAATCTTTGCACGGATTCGAAAAGCTCGTTTGGCCTTTGCCAACTTACGTCACCTATGGCGAAGGCGAGATATCCGTCTATCAATTAAGGGTCGAGTATACAGCGCGGCAGTTCGTTCCGTTCTACTATACGCCTGCGAAACATGGCCTTTAAGAGTAGAAGATACTCGTAAGCTACAAGTATTTGACCACAGATGCCTTAGAAATATTGCTGGGATCTGCTGGGGTCACCGAGTAAGTAATAGTGAGGTTAGACGCAGGGTTTTCAGAGAATATCATCATTTTCATTATATAAATAAATAAATAAATAGACGCAGGGTATTAGGGAACGATGGTTAATCAGTTGATGAGGTTATGAATCTTCATCGACTGAGATGATTGGGCCACGTGTTGCGTATGCCTGAACACCGATTACCACGACGCGCAATGGTAACCGGTGTTAGGGATAATTGGAAGAAAGTAGGGGAAGACCAAACGAAAACATGGCATCAGTGCTTAAAGTCACTAACTGTTAGTCTGAGCCATGTTGGTAGATGCAAACTAACTGGTTGGGGTCCGCGTGACTATCGTAACCAATGGTTGGAAACTGTTGGTGACATGGCTCAGAATCGATCACAATGGCATCGGTGTATACACTCTCTGTCTTCCTTTAAACTAAGAGATTAAAATCACTTCAAATCTTCTTTCTACGAACTAATTCTATCTTCCTGTACTATCTCCTTATACACACTCTTTCTTCTATATATTAACACCATTAAATTAACAACTTTATGAATTCGGTGTTCATCTTGTTGTGCTAATGCGGTATGGCAACTTGGACCGATGCATATACGTGCCTGATCCTACGTTGCAGCTGACTGACTGTTTTTGATGTTTTCTTAACTCAATAATAATCTAATATACTTCTCCTTACCTTATATATAAAGATCTAACAATTGAGACTACACCTCGATTACCGACTGTGTCAACGCCTTCATTTCCAACACTTGGCGACTATATGAAAGCGATGCGCCCAACCGCAGTACCTACTCATCCTAATATGTATATGGGACCAATGGGATGGCCTGTGTCAACACTGACTTCAAGCCAACCAAGTCAACAGTTAAATTTACCCACGAATCCTGTTACTGTGTCTTCACAATTCCCTACAACTTCTATTTCACCGAATCATTCTGTAGTTAATTCGTTTATTCCATCTGTGTCACCTGATGTTTACTATCAACAAACAAATATTAGTCAACCTTTTCCATACCATCCCACTTCTCAGGTATGTGGAGTAATTATTTCCATGTGTCTACTTTTTATTGAATTATAAAGTGACATTCACAAGTTTGAAAGAAACTTAGGCAACCAGTTAGTAGTATCATTAATCTCAAAATAATTCGTTAGTTTACAATCTAATTTGTAGCCGCTTGTATTTTCTTCTCTTGTTTTAAATCAACCGGTCAAAAATCTGGGAACTCCAACCATGTACCTCAAATAATAAATCTTAATATGTAAATAATTAGGATATTTGTGGTATGAAACTAATAATTAAGCTTAAGTTCTGAGCTGTAAATGACAAAGCAGCAGTTTAAAATAAAGCTTATGATTAAGGCAATATAGAAATACTGCAAACAAACTGTTTAGTAATCACTTATCATGTATATATATATATATATATATATATAGCTTTGAAACTCACATTTTGAGTTGTTGTTCTCAGTTGACATAGGTTCACAAACTTGGAAGCACTGGATAACTGTTTCGCCCGACTATAGAGCTCTTCAGCAGTGTGCACCCATGACTCATCCAGACATCGAGTCCAGAACCTTCAGGTCTCATGACAAATCGTTAACCGTTAAAACTACTACATCTATAAAGTTCAGATTTGCTTGAAGTGAAACAGTAGTAACTAATGGGATTAAATGGTCCTAGAATTATATCGTAAATTGATTGATATTGGGATGATGTACTGTTTCACACTAATCTAGTGTTCCTAAAGTTTAGGTGTTCGCTATAAAATCCGAATGTTGTACATCCGATCTGTGACTGGGTCCTGGATTTGTATCTTTTAGGAGTCCCATATTAGGGTGCGATAAGTGTGAAGTCCTTCAAGTGTTTCGTTTTATTTAGAGACTTTACTTGCCTCTATATTTCGACTTGTAATGGTTTTTCGTCCATTACTGATCATCAGGTATATAAATTGATTTAATGGTTTTTTGTATGCTCCATTAACGATTTCTCAAGAGAAACTTTGGGTTAGTGATTAAAGTAGTAAGTCACAGGATTGGACGTCGCTCTATTTATTTTGGTTTGAGCACTTTACATTTTAAAGCTGACGCGAGAAACGGTAAAACATAAATGTAGTTTTATTTTGAAATTATTATAATAAAACCATAATTGTCATATATATTGCTTTATTGTCTTAGCCCCCTTTTAGAGGTCCTATGTCATATACACCACTGTACAACTCTCAACAGTTTCCAGCAACTGGTGTTAACATTCAACCATCTACTATTCCGATGCCTGGTTCATCATATGCTGCAGGATTTCAAGTAAGTTTGGGTTTTATTATATCTACTTGAAACACTATTTTTAGACAACCAATCCAATGCAAACCACTGTTCGTCCTTCACCCACTGTAACTTATGGCGCTCATCAAGCTGCCAATATGGTAAATCCTTTGGTACCTCCAAGTCAACGACCCATTACTTCTTTTCCACAAACTACGAACATACTTCCCTCACAACCAAATAATTTATCTAGTACATTCGAATCTAGATTTCTTATGAATAATCCCCGAATTCCTGTTCTCTCGTCTACAACAACATCGTCACTATCACAATTTCCTGTACCTGTTAACAGTCGATTCTCACAGCCTAACTTTATTCAAACTTCCATTCAATCAACTAATCCTTTAGTTCCACCAAATTATGCATCAATAAATTCTAACCAGTTTCCTCCTCAGTCTGCTTGGCCAAATCAATCAATCAATAATAATCTGACTTATCAAAATCCTCCTCAAAACTATTCAAAAACATTACCTACAGAAAATTTCAGCATGGTCGGTATTCAATATCCTCAATCGAATTCATCTTTTCCAAATACATTATCATACCAGAAACCAATATCTCATATAAATAATTCCCCTGTGAATTCTGGGCAAATTTCGATTGCATCACAACACTCCTATACGACTCTGCCTAATCACAACCAGTCCATACATCCTGTTTCACAATGTAACACTAATGTAACAACACAGTCATTATTACCAACAAATGTAACTCAGACTTATCCAACTTCACAGTATTCTGATAGTAACAGTAATAATTCAACTGAACAAAAGTCAGATCAAATTAAACCATTCAATTCAGTTCTGGATACCGATAATGATACCTATTTATCATCTTCTAGGTTGAAATCAATGTCTCCTATTGAACCACAAGTTTTAACTAAAGTGAGTTGTTAATTTGTTTATTTTGATTGAATGGTTTATATCAATAAGTGAATAGGTTTCAACCATTACCTGTTTGCTCATATTTTAACCAGTGAAGTAATTACGTACTATGAGAAAACTAAGCATCAGTCATTTATTCGAATATTCGTCAATATTAGAACAAATAGTTTGACATCAGTCAATGAAATAGTCAGTTGTTCTTCTGTTACTTTCTTTTTGTCTAGTCGTATTTTTGTTATATATCAATCTCTTTTAATTATTATATTATTATCAAAAGGGGTTTTGTGGAGATTTTAGTAATTTCATTGGTTGAAATCAATCGAAGCTAGACCACCATGGGAGACCTGGAAGCACTAGACGGCCGTTTCGTCCTATTGTGGGACTCCTCAGCAGTGCGCACCCACGATCTTGCCCCTCGAGAGATTCAAACCCACGACCTATCAGTCTCGCGCGTGAGCGATTAACCATTAGACCATTGAGCCGGCCGGTATCCGACGGTGTTAGTGTCTAGCTCCAACCAATTTACGAAATTGTGCCACCGTCCATCATTGTCTTCAGTGAGCTGATATTTCACAACGGAGCTGGTTGAACTCCACCGGTAACAGCTTCTCACTAGAACTTTAGGAAATGCCTCTTGAAGTCAGTCACTAGTGAGTAGATGATTATTATCAGAAGGGGTTTTGTGGAGATTTTAGTAATTCCAATGATTGAAATCATGAGTCAATTGACTGATAGGTCCTGGGTGCTTTCAGGTTTTCCATGGTGATTTAGCTTCAATTGACCATTGATTTCAACTATTATATTATTGTTAAGGAATATGTCAACTGAAAAGTATTCACTTTGCTGCGAAAATCCACGTGATTAATATGTTCGTTTGAATCTTGAGATTTTAGTTGTAGCGGTAGTACCATTACGTAGTACAGATAAGTAATCATTTTATGTTTTTTTTTTTTTAAAAGGATGATTTAGATGCGAAACTAAGAGAGGAACGTTTACGTGAGGCCTATTCAGGTAATCCAAATTCTCCGTCAATACCGACTTCTACGTCAAATTTTATCAAATCGTTATCATCATCATCATCCAATCCTACAACTGTCAATGAAAGTAAAAACTCCTCTTTAAATCCAATCAAATCTGATTCACTTACATCTTCAATGGTTACATCAAATCCTGTTAACTGTCAATCAGTTTTATCAAAATTTCCACCACCAGAACTATTATCTGATCCACTTGTATTAAATCGTTTTATCGCATCTGCTGAATTACTTCTTACATGGTTAGAAAATCCCAATGAATTAATTTCTACCGGAGATCTCGATTACCCAATAACTTCTTTATCAAATCTTACTAATACTCATACTAATACGATAACTCGATTAAATAAAGCATGGCAAAAAGTACAAACACTTGCTAATAATTTTACAACTTCTATTTATTTCAATGGTAAACGACCAACACATGCAATTGCTTTATGTTGTCCATTAAAAAATCGTAATCAAAATTTTGTTCCCTATGATAACAATCGTGTAATATTAAAATCATTAAAAAATGATTATATTAATGCAAGTCATATTGATTTTCAAAATAATTTAGGTGAATGGTGTCCACGATATATTATTACACAAGCTCCAATGATTAAAACAGTAATTGATTTTTGGACAATGATACTTGAACAAAGTTGTGAAATTGTAGTCACATTAATACCATCACGTATTAATCATACTATTAATTCATTTGGTGAAGGAGCTTTTAGTGATGAAAATGATCCATTACGTATTCCAGTTTATTTACCAATTAATAAAACTGGTGCTAGATTATTATTACCTGGAAGTAATTTAGAAATTCGATTACAATCAATTAAACAATCTTATATTGAAGGAAATGTAATATCACAAGATAATAATAATAATGATATTGATATAAATGATTCAAATCGTAATTCAAATTCTTTAACACAACATCATCCATGGACTGAACGAATTATTACTGTACAAGATTTAAATACAAAAATAACACGTAGTCTAGTTCATTTAACATATCATCATCAGTTTCCTTTAAATATTCCTTTATCAGCAGATTATAACAATAATTCAATTAATGATCCAAATATTATACAATTAGTTGCATTCATTAATCATGTACATAGTTATTATAAACAACAACGTAATTTAATTCGACCTATAGCAGTTGTTTGTGAATATGGTGCTGAATTAAGTGGAATATTTGTTATTGCATCAGTTGGTATATTACATGCAGAAATGTTAGGTAGAATGAGTGATGTATTCACTATAGCTGGTTATCTATGTCAACAACGTTATGGTGTATTAAATAATTCATGTCAATTATATACTGCTGCTCGATTAATTGGTTATTCAGCTATTGAAACAGTAGCTAAAAAAGATGTTGTTATTGGACCAAGACATAGACCATCATCAACACTGACAACAACAACAACCAATAACTCGAAAGCAAGTAACTCAATCATTAATTCAACACAATTCAACATGACTAATCCATTAGATAATATTTTCTCAAAACAATCTTTAAAATTAGATGATTTAATCTCAGTAGTTGATAAATGGTCTGCGTCTAATAAATCTGAATCAATTACTTCTTCTAATGTAGAAACTGAAAATAAGTTTACTAGTTCTAATTTGGAAAATGATGATTCCAATCAAGCTACATTGAAGGTAAATGGTATTTAGTTATTTGTAAAAAAAAAAGTGTTTAATTAAGTAACTGTACAACTTCATGTCTAATAGAGCTTTCATTATAAGGTATTATGGAAATTGTTCAATTTAGGGCTTCACATCGTTTTTATTTATTTATTTATTTTAACACATAAGTATAGGTACAGGGAGGCACCAAATACATATGCGCCACACAAATCTCAATTGATTTGTGTGAGGGCTGTGATACTGCTCGGGTGCCCAAACCGAAACAGGTGGTTTTCTTAGGGCACCACACCCCGAGCCTTCGACCTGAATGTCTGATAAACAAGGCAGTGGAGCATCGTAAGGAGATGCAGTCCCATGGTAGCCGGTGACCAACGATTGGTTTATACGCCATTTGTTCCTTCAGGATACTGGAGCCCATATGCACCATTGGTTTGGGGTCCGGTTAAAGCGCCAGACATTCGCTTTTCGTCCCCTCATTTTTGTAATCTACACCCCCGCCACGAGAAGGCAGTGAGTAGGACTTCCCTGGCAGAGGCTATATACGCATGGCCATGTGAGAGCATTTCGAGAGGGAGAGCGGACTCTCCCCACTCTCGACCGTACCAGGGCATTTGGGGGCAATTCACATCGTTTACTGACTTTGGTTAAATAACTGTGAAAAATCGAAAAAAAAAACTCTGTACTGCTGTTTCTTTCCAGTTAAAGTTTTCAGCAATGTGAATTAAATCATTTCGTGCTTGAGATAACTATCACGGACAACAATGGTTGGTGTTCACCTAGTATCTGAATGCCAGCTCAGTGGTCTAGAGGTTAAACGTTCGCGCGTGAGACTGAAGGCTATGGGTTCGAATCCCGCAAGCGGGATCGTGGATACGGTCGTTCAGTGCTTACAGGTTTTTAATGGTAGTCTAACATCAATTGATTCATGATCTCAATCAAAAACTTAATAATCTCCACAACCCTACACTGATGGTATCTGGAATCGACTAACGTTAGAAATATTAACTGTTGAATTAGGTGATATAAAAGGGCTAATCTCTCACCTCGAGGATTGACGATCATTGGTCTGATTCACAGTGACATCAAGAATGTTCATGGTTGAGGTGTACTATACTATTACGTAATAGATGCTCATTACATCCTGTTTTACAACAGTTATCTACCAAAGTCAGTCTATGATATGAGCTATGTGTATTGTATGGATTGTTGACAGTGAGTCAGTCAGCTGCAACGTAGGACCAGGCACATATATGCATCGGTACAAGTTGACACACCGCATTAGCACAACAAGATGAAGAGCAAATTCATAGAAGTAATTAATTCAGTGGTAATATATAGAAGAAAGAGTGTGTATAAGGAGATAGTACAGGAAGAAAGAATTAGTTCATAGAAAGAATGACATGAAGCGATTTTAATCTCTTAATTTAAAGAACCATGTCACCCACAGTCTCCAACCATTGGTTACGATAGTCACGCGGACCCCAACCAGTTAGTCTGCATCTACCAACATGGCTCAGACTAATAGTTAGTGACTTGAAGCACTGATGCCACGTTTTGGTTTGACCGCCCCTAACTTTCTTCTTACCATCTACAACACTGGTTAGCGTTGAGCGTCGTGGTAATCGGTGTTCAGGCATATGCAACACGTGGCCCAATCATCTCAGTCGATAAAGATTCATAACCTCATCAACTGATTTACCATCGTTCCCTAATACCCTGCGTCTATTTATTTATTTATTTATATAATGAAAATGATGATATTCTCTGAAAACCCTGCGTCTAACCTCACTATTACTTACTCGGTGATCCCAGCAGATCCCAGCAATATTTCTAAGGAATCTGTGGTCAAATTCTAGTAACTTACGAGTATCTTCTACTCTTTATGACCATGTTTCGCAGGTGTATAGTAGAACGGAACGAACTGCCGCTCAGTATAGTCGACCCTTAATTGATAGACGGATGTCTTGCCTGCGCCATAGATGACGTAAGTTGGGAAAGGCCAAACGAGCTTTTCGAATCCGTGCAAAGATTTTGTCAGACACTAACTCATTAAGGCTGATCAGACTTCCAAGATAAGTGAAGTTGTCAACGCGTTCGACTACTTCACCCCCTATCCTTAGTTCAGGTGTTGACGCAGACCAGTCCTGAAGCAACAACTTGCATTTAAAGGAAGAGATACACATCTCAAACATTCTAGCATTGTTGCTCAGTGCTACCAAAAGACTGCATTTTATCAGCGTCTTCAGCAAACAGGACTATGTCATCTGCGTATGCTAAGTTGATATGTGAACCTCGTGGTAGGAGATCAATGCCCGAAAATTCAGTCGATGAGAGCGTTATTTCCATCAGTAGATCTATGATGGAGTTAAACAAAAATGGGGAAAATTAACATCCTTGACGGACACCACCTGAGGTTGCAAAAGCAGATGACAGTTCGTCGTAAGCTCTGACTCGACTAGTAGTGTGGTGTGTGATCCGCCTATTAGAGAGCAGCGTATTATCGATCGAAACACTGACGCATAAAATACGAGCGAGCAGCCTAGAGTTCTGATTGACCCTGCTTCCCTGTCTAGCCCAGCCAGTTAAGTCCAGAACACAAGTCTCAGCCTCGATGATATGAATCATTATATTTCAAACATACTCTGTTTATATACCAAACAAACAGACTACATCGTACCATAAAATAGAAAGTAACATTTGTACAAGATTTAACCTTCAAGAAATGACACAAATAAATATTGACCAATAGGGAAATGACACGTTGGAAGAATGTTCACCAATGGGGAAATGACACTACTTCTAATTCAGAAATGGCATTAGATAATTTCTGGGTTATTTTCTGAATACCCCAACAGTTCGAGTAAAGAGCCTTCACAAGGCTTATGTAATTCTGAGGTACGCCTTTCAATGACAGACACTGCCACAGAACCTCTCGGTAGTAGTATATAAATAGTATATAGATATTAAGGTAAAGTGGTTTGGGTAATTACAAAATGGTATTTCATTTATATCACTCGGTTTTTATTAATTCATTATTTTCTATTTAATAGAATGAAATGCCTGTTAATGTTGAACAACAACCACAACAAAAATCGATTAATGAATTGAATGTAATTCCTTCAACGATTGTATCATTATCAGATAATCAATCTAATTTCTTATTATCACAATCCTCAGAAATCAATAAACCGGCCAATGAATCTAAACTACCTGAACATTTAGTTAATTTAAATAATTTAACTAAAAATTCTACAAATAATAAACGTTATACTCGTCAAGATTTTGAAAATCATTTCAATTCTACTACGACAATGACAACCACAACCACAACAACAACTACTACTAATACTACTGAAATACATCATCATGAATTCGAGTTCAATTCAAATGATCCATTGAATAAATTAGATCCATTATGGAACTCGAAATTACTTGATGATGATCATTCAGTGAATTCTTAATACGTTGAATTTTCTTTTTCTTTTGTTTTTTTTTGAGCTTTCTCTTTCATCTTTTTGTCTTATTTTGATTTTGTTCAATTGTATTATTATGATTATGATTATTATTTAAAAGATGATTTATTTTTTAATCAATTTTCATGACTTTTTTTTTTTTGTTTCCTTATTCATTTGATTCATCAATTTGATAATAATAGTAATATGTAAGATGAGAGGTGGTTTTAGTGACTTGAGAGCGTGACCGCAGTGCCTAAGGGACAACTGTTTGAGGTCGGTCACACATGACCTTTTTATGAGTAATTTTCGTGTTATCAAGTAAATATATTTCAATTTGGGTGACTAGGTAATATCTCAGCCATAACATAAACCATGATAATCATGTTACTTACTTACGCCTGTTACTCTTCGTGAACAAGCACAGGCCGCTCACCAGCATTCTTCATCCAACCCTGTCCTGGGCAATCCTTTTCATATATGATTCTATTTCCCGACGTAATATGTTCTTCGGTCTTCCTCTTTTCCGCTTTCCTTCAGGATTCCAAGTTAGCGCTTGTCTTGTGGTGCAGTTTGATGATTTCTTCAATGAATGTCCTATCCATCCCCATCGTCTTTTACTAATTTCCTCTTCAGCTAGAAGCTGGTTGGTTCTCTCCCACAAAAGGCTGTTGCTGATGGTATCCGGTCAATGGATGTTGAGTATCTTGCGTAGACAGCTATTGATAAATACTTGTACCTTCTTGATGGTGGTTGTTGTGGTTCTCCACGTTTCAGCTTCGTACAGTAGAACCGACTGCCTTGACGTTCGTATTGAAGATTGTGACTTTGATATTGGTTGAGAAACAGTTGTTTTGAGTTCCATATGTTCTTTAATTGAAGGAATGCCGCCCTTGCTTTGCCAATCCTCGCTTTTACATCTGCATCTGAACCTCCTTGTTTATCGGTGATGCTTCCCAGGTATGTGAAGGAATCCACATCTTCCAGAGTTTCGCCATCAAGAGTGGTGGGATTGGTGTTCTCCGTGTTGTATTTGAGGACCTTGGTTTTCCCCTTGTGTATGTTGAGGCCTACTGATGCAGAGACTGCTGCTACGCTGGCTGTCTTTATCTGCATTTGTTCGTGTGTATGTGATATTAAGGCTAGGTCATATGTGAAGTCCAAATCGCCTAATTGGTTCTGAGCTATGATAATCATGTGCATGACGTTAACTAGGAAATAATGTATTACAATTTTTTATCAGTACTTATTCGATTGTCAAGTTAGCAGTATAATAGTGACTGTCATTACCAAATGGAAAGAGTGTCACATATGATGAATTTAGCAACTACTTACCGTATAACCATATCTCTGAACATGACTAAGATTCGTTTCACGTTTCACCTCTCTATACTGTTGGTCGAGTGTTCGTCTTGTTAATTGGTGCTTCAGAATGAGGGGAAATATTAGAAACATTAAATATATTCAACAAAGCGAATAATGTATAAGTAACTGAAAGGAATTAGTGAATATGGATTATTGTAAAGTTGTGTATTGTTAGTTTGTCTCCTTGTCTTCCATCACTATCCTGTATGAGTTCGAACTCAGTTCTGGCTACCGAGATTAACGTATCATTGTCTATCCAAAATTAAGTAAACTTCTATGTTTAGGATAATAGCCTGCTGTTTTTCGCTCTCATAACCAGCATTATTTTGGTGTTGAATATACAATGGGGTTAATAACAGCTGTTGTTCGATATCACAATACCATATACCATTCATCATGAAAATACATGGATCAACTAAACAGTTGAGTAGGTGTTTTCTACGAACACCGTCATCACACAACAAACAGTAACGGTTTAGATCACGGTATCCGATAGACACAGGACTAAGTGTGTGTAAAAATCAAAGCACGAGCTTTGAAAGTCGAAATTAGTCATCTAATTTAAAGAAATTAAGACTTGTAGTGTGTTGTATTTTAACTTGTACAACAAACGAGTCACTACATATGCTTGTATCCTGTATCGAGTTGAGCTTCTTCAAAAGTACTCAATTCAAACCGACTATTAAATAGGATGAAACTAGTGAATTTCCATTTATCAATTAGTGCAAGCAATATAGTTGTGAGAGCGCTTCATTCGTGATTCACATCACTTAAGACTATTCCGAATTGGTAAACATCCAGAGCATTCTTTTATCTGATTATATGCCTAAAGTGATTCGACATTGTGCTCAGTATGTTAAGTATATATATTCATGTAGAAATTTGTATAGAACATACTGTTTGTGAGTCAACAATCCAATCGTAGGAGTATAAATCAGCCAGACAAACATCTATTTCTGGATCATCACAAAATGTGCCAAAACTAGATTCAGTCGGACTAGCAGCTGTAGTCGCGTAAACTGTAAAGTAAAAGGGAAAAATCGACGAAATATTGGATGAACAATTCTTTCAAATGTAACGTTACACATTTGAATTCTAAGTGATGAAAAATCGTGTGTACGGTTGTGTGATTGCGAACAATTCAGAACCATGTACCACAGTCTCCAACAATCGGTTACACGAATACCATAAATCCCGATCGAAAGATCTGCACCAATTCGATATAGTTCAGTGGTCAGTAATTTCATTGACTGATGTCATGTGATAATTTGACTGTCCCTAGTATTCTTCCAACCTACTCCTACAACAGACAGCACCGCAGGACTAGGTAGTCGTTGGACGGACACACGTAATACATCTCCTAAACATCACAGTTGAGAAATATTCATTCCCTCATAAATCAGTTTGCTACACTTAACTAATACCCTATGTTACACCTCAGAATCGCTCACCTGTTGCTACTAATAACGCTAGAAACCCTATTGTTCATGATCAAGTTGATTTGTCACTTCTGAGAATTCTTTCTATTCCAAGCATCAACCCTTCTCTTATGACTTTCTTACTGAATCATACACGACTAATCACATTTCACAGAACAGAGGGTTTGTATAGTAACAAAAGAAGTGAAAAATTCATAATCGACACAAGAGAAGACAGAATGGAATTGTCGAGAACTTTCGAAGTTTCTACAGGCGACACCCAAACAAAGCATAATAATATCTGCATTCGAGTCTCCAGTGGGAAAATTCAACCATCTATGTTGATGGGTCCATCCTCAAAGCGATAAGATATTCTTGTGGCATTGATATCCCACTCACATGTTGAACGAAGTCTTTGAGTTCCCACACGCATTTCATACACAGTTATATAGCTGTTCTTGGTATCTGTTCAAGTGTGTCTACTGAAAGTGGACTTGAATTCACAATGGAATGTACATTGAACAGTGCCAATAACTGATGGAACATAACAAAACTGTTATGATTCATGTGTCTAAATCTTTGTCAATGTGGAATGCTTAACGATAGAATCTTCACAATATCAATGAAAGCAAAACCATTATGTTGTATTTGATCTACAAACATTGTCCATTTCATCTCTGGTTTCATTCAACCAATATACAAGCCATAAGACATTTTGAACCTATACATATATTCCCACTTGAATTGTAATGCAACGCATAGCCAACATGTGTTATATTGAATTATGTTGATGTTGGAACTCCTAGTTGTTCTTAGGGCGTTTGTTGACTAATGGATTCATGTTGACTGTTACTTCATGGGACTGCTATTCATGGAATTTCCACTGATGACAATATCCCTAAGTGAAAAACCAAACAGTGAATTGTACAGTGACAATTTTGCACTTCTCATGTGGACATATCTGATGAAGTGTAGACCGTTACCTGTTATTCTTGTGAAATCCTCAACTACAAACTTCGAATTGTTACATTAGATGATAAACCAAAGATAATAATAATCAACTGAGATAGATAGTGACATTATATCTGTGTTGTTAAAAAGGGACTGATCTGAAATTGCACTCACTATTTAAATTCGGCGGTAATATTCCTTGAAACATGGAACCTGATTCACACGCTTCAATATAAATTACTAATTTTGTATAACGGTAAATAAGCGTTAGTACGCGTGACTGAAGGCCCTTGAGGTGAGTCACGCGTACAGGACGTTTTAAGCACTGTGCTGAATAGTCCCTTACTAGGATGAAACAACCGTCATGTGATTTCAGATTTTCAGCCATCTAGTTTAGATCGACTCATTAGTTTAACTTTTAAAATAACCACAAATCCCAATTCTCAAAATTTTGTATCGTTTGGATTATTTCGACAAGCAAATATTTACTTTTTTTAGATGAATCTAAAACCTTATAAACATATAACAAAAGTAATAATCATCGGCTCACTAGTGACTGACTCCTGGAGTTTTAGTGAGAAGCCGTGACCAGTGGAGTTCAACCAGGTCTGTTGTGAGATATCAGCTCACTGAAGACAATGGTCACGGTGGCGCAACTTCGTGGATTGGTTGAAGTTAGACATTATCACCGTTCGATGCCGGCTCAGTGGTCTAGTTAGTTAAGCGCCTGGCGCGAGAGTGATAGGTGCTGGGTTCGAATCTCGCGTGAGGAGCTGGATCGTGGATGAGCACTGCTGAGGCATCCCATACTAGGACGAAACGGCCGTCCGGTGCTTTCAGGTATTCCATGGTGGTCTAGCTTCAAATGATTCATGATTTCGACTATTGATATAACAAAAGAATTGATTAACACATAAAGTTCCTACAACACGATGCACTATAATTTGATTGATTAGTATATCTAATGCTCTTGCGAAATCCATTAAATTCATACCATTTTCAATCGTAAATCTATAAAGTTCTGAGACAAATAACTCAAATTCATTGCATGTATCGATTTACTTAATCAAATGGTCACAATACAGATTGATTGATTGATTGATTGATCGAATCTCATCAGTACGTGACATGACAGTTAAGTGTCACCTCTGAATGGATTAGATACCGATTAAAGATATCGATTAATTTAACACACAACAGAGATATTATGGTGCATGCTAGTTATGTCAGGAGGTTTAAGTAGTATGTAACACGAATCGGAATTGAAAAACCTATCAGCACAAATCTAGGAAGTTCGAATTAAAGAGAATAGAAGAAAAATCGGAAGGAATTATTCACTGAAAGAATCATACAGAATATGAAGGTCTGTTTCAACTTGAATGGAATCGATCCAATCTAACCATTT